ATAAAGTTATAGAATAATATTATCTATATGTAAAGAAAATGTACACAAACGTACAGCAAACCTTTTGAATAATAGTTTTTACAGAAAGAAGTATTTAACTTTTATTTGAACACAGCACAAATCCCATCCTCCCTTTTCAAGTCTCAGCGTTGCTCTTTTGTGCCGGTGTATTCAAACTGAAAATTGCTATGCAGGTTCAGACTGTCGCCTCAAAACGTCTGCAGAGTGCCAAGCTTATCGGAACCTCAGGGAAATCTAAATTAAATCTTTGGTGTGAATGGAACCACCCCTCCCCGAATTGTCTATTGTCACTCTCAACTATTAATGTTAGTTTTAGGAAGTAACGGCACATTTATCAAAGGGATATGCCATTTTCAGCCATGGGGCTGTTGGAGAATTATTGCATATTAGTTCAGAGTTTGTGTCAAAATGGAGCTTACCAAACTTAGCAGTGTTTTTGGAAGGCATCACACCACCATTAAAAATTGATTAGCTGCAGCAGAGCAGCAGCACTACAGGTATGTTTACAACACATATCATGGAGAAAATTGCCCTTAACCTTTTTTAGAATGCTTGCAACGGTTTAGCCGCAGACTTTGTGAAGAGGTTAGTTACACACCAATTAATAAAGCACAGGGCGTAAGGACAATAAAAGCTAGAAATAGCTTACCTAACAGCTTAGTTCTTGGCTGTACAGGTAAGTCTGTGTTTTATTAACATATCAAGGGCAGGTCAGCTGACCGGGTTTGTCATCGGCTGGTGCAATGGACGTGTTCTTCTGTTTTTTAATCCTCTGAAATAATTGAAATTGATAGTTCTCTGCTTTACTGTGTTGTGATTAAACTGTCCATACAGTGGTAAACAAGGTTTGTGGCCTGATGAATGCTAACGTTGATCGATGCTAATGCTCCCCTGTACCAGCTGGAAATGTAATGTATGAATCAACTGATGTTATGTCACTACAGCGATGTCATATTTGCTCCCCAAGTGTCCCAAAAATTCTGTTGTTACAGTTTGGCAAAAATCAAGTCTCTCAAGCATGCAGCAATGCTCAAATAATTCATTTTACACTGCCTGACAAACATTCTTCATTATTCATGAATACGTTTAACAACCCAGACAGAAAATAACAGTTTTACTGCTTATTCTGATCTTCTAGAATCTGGGAGAGGAGCACAGATTTGTAAGAAGAGAATGATAAATGAGGGATGCCAACAAACCATGCCTTCTTATTATCATGTAAAAAGCATTCCATACTGTATTGAGAGCCCTCTGTTCACTGACACATATTCATCCACATAAAAACACATGAACACCTACACAGACACACACAGACACACACACATAGACACACTCCTCTGAGAGAAAGTTACTCTCACATAGATGTATGCCGTTGCACAATTTGCATCTGAATACCAACTTTTGTTGGTAAGTTCAGGGGTCTTTGGAGATTTTTTCACATTCTGTTCAGAGTCAGGCGAGCCAGTGGGAACACAAGTCACACATTAGCAAAGCCCTGCCAGCCTCAATTATGAGCAAAGGGATGGGCTTGATACTGTTGCATCGGACCTCATTCAACACCAGTTGCGTCAATTTAAACCTTTCTGGTCACTTCCATTTTTTTCCCCTTACCAGGACATTGTGAATTACAAATTGTAAAAGTGAAACGGGTAAAAAAAGAAAAAAGGAAAAAAGGAAAAGTGGGTCTTCTCCTCTGCTTTTCCTGCTTTTTTCACTCTCACCTTTCTCAAAGTCTAGTTTTCATGTTTTGAGACGATCCATCTGCAGTGGAAGTGCTGTATTCTCTCTAGGCTGTATACCTACAGCTTTTTTCCTTTTCGCACACATTTTTTGATGCCCCCACCCCTAAAAAAAATTCCTCTTGGAACATTCGAGACAGAAAATCAGTAGCGAGCCTTTAAGCTTGTAGGCTTTTGGCTTCATACTTTACATGCATTATGAGACAGTTGATTAAATTGCAAGTACGCTATGACTCGCCCTCCTTTAATATATAATAAATGTCTCTTCTCCCCCTGCTCCTCGCATATTCTTTCTATGTTTTGTGCATTCTCGGGGGACTGTAAATTGAATGAATCAGACTTTATGCCTGTTTCAAAGCCCAAGGTGTTTTATTCATGGGCCAAAAAGTACATTAACGCCCCTAAAAAGTCTGGAAGATTTATCAACTTCTCCCTCAGTCTCCACACTACCTCACTTGAACTGCGATGCTTGAATTGTAGATGTGGACTGCTGGGCAGTGAAAAACATATGTCTGTTAATCCGGTGTGAGTTTTCTTCCCTGCACGCTTGCTGCTGTCTTACCATCATGCCCGTGCTCTGACATGGGCAGCTCCGTTGTTGCTACATTTATTATTCAGTCTTATCAATAAAAGATAGGGCAGCATTAAGTTTTTATCTGGATGTGCAGTGCTGCTGTCTCTTAGAGCCTCTTTACAAGCACATGACTGAGGAGCAAAACTTTCCCTCTGTGTTCTTACTTCCAGGCATCACTTGGCATTAGTATAGCCTCAAATGATCCTTGTTCCTTATACATGCTTTTAGAGGCTTATTCCCTGTGATCTCATATTCTGGTAGCTTACTCCCACATCTCCTCTCTAAGCCGCTGGCTTTTAATGAGTTTTGCTGAGAGATATATTTACTCACGTTGTCTTCTGCTTCTGTCTAAACGGCAAAATTTTCCCCCTTTCATTTTGTCTTAACGGGCTGAATCAGCATTGTCGTTTCACAGTTCACTTAGTGCAAAGAGCTGATGTGGGCATAACTCTATCAGGTAAACAAGTCCTAAATCATCTCAGTTTATAGAAACGGCATGGTCTGCCATGCATTATGAATGCATGGCAGACCATCACACTGGTCATGTCGTTGAAGATAGAAAAAGCTTTTCCTTAGAACTTCAGTTTCTTTCAACATTTGTCCATTTGTGCATTTCCATGCACCATCAAGGTGTAATAGCTTTAGATTGTTTCAACATTGTGGTTTCATCTACTTTTATTTCATCTCCTTTTGATTGTAGTTGCATACAGAATCTGCCACCCAGTGGGATAAATAAAACGTGCAGATAAAAGAGGCTGGGAGCGAGGAAACTGGGAGGAAAGAACTGTATGTGTCAGTCAGAGCTGATAAAAGCCTGAAAATCCAATTAGTCCTCAGCATCAGGGAAGAGAAAGAGGATTCATGGGAATAACGTCAGGAGATATCCAAAGCCACAGCCATGGTAATACAGCAATAACACCTCATTTACATACTTGGCTGATGATAGACCAGCTTTGAAAAAAAAAACAGTTTTCTAACAATTTAGTAAGAACTCAACTTGATGGTTTTGTCTTTTGATATGTTTTCAACATATAAACAACTATCAATATCTACCTTCAACATACATAAATAGGATAACCAATGAGAGATGATGATGTTCTAATTATCACAAATATATGCTTTTGCCAGTATGGATGTCCTCGAATCAGAGTGTGACAATACAGTGTCAAATGGGGATGGAGCAGCTTTTGCCTGGTCTTTCACACAAAAGCTAAAACTGTTGTTGTTGGTTTATTATTTTCATCCAATGCCTGAATTGAAGATGGAATTGAGCCAGAGAGCACGCGAAAAAGGACCGAGGGCAGTTTCAAACAGCACAGCTCCAGCTCTGCAGGTCAGAGCTCATATGTTCCCCCAGGGAAGAAAAAAAACACATGGCCCGCGAGCAGAAAAACCAGAGCAAACACAGCTGCTGTCATATATTTTATGTTTATGTACCATACACTGAATTAATGGCTGCCCGCGTGCATCCTGGACAAAGCAAGACATTGGAGGAGGGCGGGGGACATGTATGGGTGAAGCTCACTGGGTACAGTCTAGGTTAGATCAGAGTGAGGCTGAAATTCTTTGTGTCAGATGTAAGCGTAATGATATTCAGCCACTTGCATAATATGCATAGAGGTAATTTATTGTGTATAAGGGTTTTTTCTCACACAACCTCAACACCTTTGCATGCACGAGTACAATGAAGCATCTCTGTGGACACTCATGCTGCTGCCTGTGCACCGTTTTAATGATCATGTTCACAAAAGACACGTTCATTTGATTCTTTTACTTACATTGTTGGCTCACACTCAAATGGCCATTCGATCAAAACAAACTAAATTCACGAAACAGGGTTTTTATTTTAATTTTAAATGTATATAAAATGGAGGATCAATGCATTTAAATCACCGGGATTTGCAGTGGCCCTGACTTAACCGATGCCTTTGATTTGTTTTTTTAATTAGGAGATTGGATAAACTGCTGACTGCAAATGCTGTGTGAACGTTGTGTACAGTAAATTGGAGAAAAAAGTTGGAGAAAAAACCCTCCAAAAATAACCCTTTCAAATTTGATGTTGAGATAAATGGATAAAAAATGATTAAACTCAAAGTCTCCTTTGTTTTGTTAAATTTACACCAATACACGTTTAATTTTCTAAACATCTATTCACCGTTTGTTTGGTCATAGAGACACACAAAGCTGCCTCCTTTTCTCTACAACGTCTACATTTTTCCAGCACACACTGCACTCTCATCACATTGTCACTCTGTTCACTGACCCCTGACTCCAGTTTGCACATCTCCTCCTGTCTCTCCTTCACCTCTGCCCCCCACTCCCCCCTGCTAACCCCAGTGCCCCCCCCATCCCTTCTATCCGCACACCCTCCCAGGGGGAGGTGAGGCTTGAGCTGGCCCTGGGCCCGGGCCCATTAGCTCCAACCTGGCAGCCATGTGCTCATCACCAGAGATCATTACAAGCAGCCAATGACACCACTCTAATGTATCATTAATGATTGATTAATGAGCTGAGCTCAGCCCAAACGGGTGCATTTGCACGGAAGAACACCCTGTAATGGCTGCGCAGGGCTCGCATCTGCTGTTTTTCCCTGTGTCTTGTGTGACCACGTGTCTGCGCGTGGCTTTGTTTTACTCTCATCCGTCTCCTCCTGTGTGCCGTTTCACAGGAAGCCTGAGGGAGCGGCACAGTCCCCGTGTTGTAAATGAAGGGCTGAGGAGGTGACTGCAGCGGAACACCATGGCTGGGCGGGGGCTCCTTCCCCCTCTCCCGCTTCTTCTTCTCTCTCTAGTCTTGGTGGGAATCCTTCCGGAGGCCCAAGGCTCTGGTTACCTGTCCGGATATCGCCTTAGGTCCCGTTTGCAGAAGGACCGCCAAATCCGCAATGTCCGACCCAATATCATTCTAATTCTCACCGATGATCAAGACATAAAGCTGGGTAATATGCTTGTCTCTGTTCCCTTAACTATGTGATCCACGTGCATCTTAATCTCGTTGCTTTAGTTGAGTAAAGAACCACGATATGAGTGTTCTATCCGTGCGTATCCGACAGCATTTTGCAAGGACAAGTCAGCCCAATGCTGCCTCTTGGCACCATAACAGCTGGCTCTCTCCAAGTCATGTACGTTCTTTGCCAACTTTGTTGCTGGCATGAAATGAGGGCGGCCTACGGCTCCCATTGTCTGGTTGCCAAACCGTGGCCATCTCCCGACCCGTTTAAGTCCTTTAGCAGCATATTGGATTGGAGTAGCGGCATAATGGCCTCTGTGACATCCTTTGTCCTCGTGCGATTGCAGCGAAAAGACTCATTGAAAAGCAGGAATTTATGGTCAAGCATCTGTTTCCCCAAACAATCACCATCAGCCTGAAAAGGTTTTAGCAAACAGGAATCCAATGGGTTACACTTTAGCAAAAAGATTTATTCTCTCATTTAACTCCAATCCCTCTTTTTCTCCAAACATTTCCATAATGATTTTACCCCCTCTTGCCCCATGTTTATATTTTTTCCCTTTTAAGTCTCTGTGTTTCTCGGACACTCCCCTCCTACTGTTTTACATCCCTTAGGATCCCTTTCATTTCAGTTGTTGGCCTTTGAATTTAACCCTCCTATCCTCTCAAATAAATCCCCCCTTTCTGTCCCTGTCCCAACATTTGCTCTCAGGCTCAATGCAGGCCATGAACAAAACTCGCCAGATCATGGAAAAGGGCGGTACTCATTTTTCCAACGCTTTCTCCACCACGCCAATGTGCTGCCCGTCCCGTTCCTCCATCCTGACCGGCAAATACGTGCACAACCACCACACTTACACCAACAACGAGAACTGCTCCTCTCCCTCATGGCAGGCACACCATGAGCCAAACACCTTTGCTGTGCACCTCAACAACTCCGGCTACAGGACAGGTGAGCGCTGCCAAGTCTGAACCTAAGTGGGTTTAATATGTCACTTATGTTAAAAGATTTGCAGGCCAGTTAACAGACTTCTCACATATTCATCACTCAGCCTTTTTTGGGAAGTATCTGAATGAGTACAATGGCTCCTATGTGCCCCCTGGATGGAGAGAATGGGTAGCATTGGTGAAAAACTCCCGTTTCTACAACTACACGCTCTGCAGAAATGGAGTACGAGAGAAACACAGCAGCACCTATCCAAAGGTAATAATACAGAACAAGCCCCCGCTTTATGGAAGTCAATATCACAGAATTTAAAAAAATGACTTTGAGAACGTTGTGCCTTTGAAAAAAGTCTAATGAAATGTTTAATGAATTCATGATGCTTCCAAATTTACACCTCTGAATTAATTTAAGGTTGATTTTTATCTTTTTCATGGCCTAAACTCATTTACTGTTTTAAGGATGTTTCAGATTCCATTTGATGACACGATAATTCCTTCATTTCATTTTGGATATTTTAATGTATTAATGTACAACATATTAATAAAATTATGGTATTAAATTATAAATGGTTGATCACATCTATTATTTGCTTTATTAAGTCTGTCAGAAGTTGTTTTTTTTTGGCATGTGAGACCACATGGTTCTCTGGCAGACTCAATACAGCAATGTAGGCTTTAACCCTTTTGGAGATAAATATTCTTGACTGATTTTTTTTTTACTGTATATATAAATAAAATTTACCGTATATTATATAACAACATTTTTGTCCATTGAGCTAAAATAGAAAGATAAAATAGGTTTTTCTTTATGATGCAATAGAGCTCAGAAATCAATGTATAAGAAATAATACATTCGACAACAAAGGGTTAATATCTGCTGTTTCACTATTTCTGTCACTGACTGAGTGCCTGATGGAAGCAGCTTGCTTGTTTTTCAGGATTACTTGACAGACATCATTACCAATGACAGCATCAACTACTTCCGCATGTCTAAGAGGATGTATCCCCACCGGCCTGTCATGATGGTCTTAAGCCATGTTGCTCCACATGGTCCAGAGGACTCGGCCCCACAGTACAGCTCGGCCTTCCCTAACGCATCACAGCACATGTAAGCTTCAGAAAGCCAAAACAAGCCATATGGGTAGCCAAACTCTAAGGCTCCAAACTCTTTTATGTCTATAGATATGCTTTGATTATTTATGCACAGAAAGTCTGTTTGAACAGGACCGCGTTTGCCGATTTGTGGTAATTATGTTTGCTCCCCATGGGACAGAACCGATAAGAACAAGGATACACTTGTACATTTTCACTGCTATTTTTCTTGCATATGACTCATCTCTGCATTCACACTTCCTTTCATTTGACCCAGAATGACACAAATTCCATAATCGCAGTGCGATCTCGTCTTCCTCTGCCTGCAGTGTGTTGTTGGCAGCTGAGCCTTCTCCTTTCACAGTTTGTTTTGCTCCAGTTTCTTTGGCTCATGTGTTGTTTGCATTTGTTTTAACACCATAATGAACCTTGTTCATTTGTACTGTTTTGTCAGCCATGATCAAAGAGAAGCATAAATGATGTATGCTTACTGCATAGGTAATTATTAAAATGCATGTGCACCCTACCACCCACACAGGATTCTTTGACTTCAGCTTTTTTCTTTCTGTTCCTCCATATTCCTGACTCGCTTTCTAGCGCTGCTAACTAATGGCAAGCCCACTCTGGCCTCCAGAGATGTACATAGGGCCAGTAATGAGACTGCAGCTTCAGCACCCCCTTCCCACCAGCCCTCTCACACTCTCGTCCTGCTTCATCTAATCCCTCCAACATCATTAACCTGTGCCACACAGTTTTAATACATTGAATATTCAGAAATTTCAGCCCCAGTATCTTTGCGCAAACTTTTAATTGCTCTCTCTCTCTCTAAATGTGCTCTCCCTCGGGTGAAGTTAACTGAGAGCGCCTTGTCTGGCTATTTTTCTCACTCCATCTCCTTCTGTCCTCATCAACCAGAGGTGGGGAGTGAGACAGTAAAAATCCTGCACGACTCAGTTGGTGTTCCTCCTCACCTTGGCATGCATTTTTACTCTTCATTAGAGTTGTGGAGTAAGATATGCAATATTAGCATTTGTACAAGTCAGATCAACCGTTTTTTTTTCAGACCTCAATATCGATTTAATAGTTTTAATGCTCAAATGGTTAACACCTCCATATAGCTTAGAGTTGAATATTGATAAAAACCATGCAGGTTTATAGATTGGAGCACTTTGCATTTTATGGTTGTATGCAAGCTCCAGTTTTATATTGGGTAAACTGTTTTCTATCCACTTTTGAGCAGCGTTTGCCAACACCAGCAGAGAACATTGCTGTTAATGTACAATATAATATCATACTGCATTTGCAAGATTCAATTTGTTATACAATAGAGAAACATCCAAGGACAAATACACAGGAAATAACAAATTAGTATGCTTTTTTTCCCAATGTTTTTATGTATTTATTTTCAAATCTGAACATACTGTCTTTGATTTTTTTTTCCCTTTGAAGAACTCCCAGCTACAACTATGCTCCAAACTTAGACAAGCACTGGATCCTCCGCTACACTGGCCCTATGAAGCCCGTCCACATGCAGTTCACCAACATGCTTCAGCGCAGGAGGATGCAGACGCTCCTTTCCGTGGATGACTGTGTGGAGAAGGTAGGGAGACAGTTGTACGCTGAAGTACGTATACACAGTTGCAGTTCATCCGACAATCTCAGGTCCTGGGAGATCTGTGCTTGTTCTGGCTGGGACGGGATAATGAATTCACTGACACACTTGGTAAATTGCTCAGTCCCTTTTTCCTTGAAGTTATCAAATATAAACCCAAACTTGTTACTGTGTGAATTCTCTTTAGGTGTACAACATGCTGCTGGAGACTGGAGAACTGGACAACACCTACCTCGTTTACACCTCAGACCATGGTTACCATATAGGCCAGTTTGGTTTGGTGAAGGGAAAATCAATGCCTTATGAGTTTGATATACGCGTACCCTTCTACGTACGAGGACCAAATGTGGAGCAAGGTGTCATGTGAGTGACTAAGACTGTTGTTTTTCAGTCATATGTACAACTCTGATATTAATGTTGTGCAGTTGTGCTAATGTATCATTATTTCCCCTCAGCAATCCTCATATAGTGCTAAACATTGACCTGGCCCCGACTCTGCTGGATATGGCTGGTGTTGATATTCCTGCAGAAATGGATGGCAAATCTATCCTTAAGCTCATGGCCATAGACCGACCAGTCAATAGGTGAAAACTCTCTCCTGGTTTTTGCACACTATCATACACAGTTTGGCATTGAAGTAATTAATTACATTGCAGTGTCTCAAATAGTAATTTCCCAAATTTATTTCCAAGAGCTATCCTGTACATGCTTAGAATAGCAATCCAAATATAAATGTGTCTCGGAAATGTCTTGTAAGAGCTTTGAAAGCATGGCATTTCAAAATGGCATCCGTGTTTGTTGAGTGCAAATACCAGAGTGTATTTTTATTTTGTATCCAGGTTCCAGTTGAACAGGAAAAGTAAAACATGGAGAGATTCATTCCTGGTGGAGAGAGGGTATGTTTTATTGATTGACCTTTCGCAAGTCATGTTCTTATTCCACACATTGTCTACTGGCGGCATCAAACTCCCTCTCCTTCAATGTGCTTTCTTGGCTTTCAGGAAGCCGCCACACAAGAGAGCTGATGGGAAGGAAATGGCTCAGGAAGAGAACTTCCTGCCAAAATACCAGAGAGTGAAAGACCTGTGCCAGAAAGCAGAGTATCAGACCTCCTGCCAGCAGCCAGGACAGGTACTTGACCTGCAAGAGCTAAGAGAGTGAAGTTATAAAAATTTCAAGAGAATGAAATGCAGTGGAGCCAGAGCAGGGTGATCATTTACAGCCTGCTTTCAAATTTTGTGAGTGCTATTTGTAGTGCCTGTTCTCTTGGGCTCCATCTGAATTCAGAATCTACTTTCTTAATCCATCAAAAATGAAGAGCGTTTAGTGTGGCATGTCTGGTTATGTTTGGACTTGATAACTGTGGGCATGAAAACTAATTTCAATGCCTCTACAAAGCACAGTAAACATCTATTCAGTGGTAGTTTCAGCTAATTAAAAAAGATATCCTATGGTGACTGTTAAAACCCAGATTTACTTAGACTGTATTCAAATGTCCTGATGTCCTTGGTTTCAGAAGTGGCAGTGTGTGGAGGACCCAACTGGCAAGCTGAGGCTGTATAAGTGTAAGGGCATGGCTAGTCTCTTTGCCCCGCGTATGCAGGCTATGATGGCCAGCAGTGCCTCTCAGGTAGCTCTCACAGCCAACTCTGACGTCTGCAACTGCGGTGAAATGGGCTTCAAGGCATCTTTCCTAAAAAAGAAGAGACTGCTAAACAAAAAGAGTAAGTCCTCCTTCTCACTCACGTCACGTGTACTGTTCTTCAGATGGTTATTAATAGATTTGGATTTTATTCAGATAGAAATGCGTTCTTCACTTGAAATGACCTTGCAAGAGGATACAAAAGAGAACCATTAATCTCAAGCTAAAATAACCAGCATTGGAAGTGTTTGTGAGATAAGAGACATGTGTCAGTGCTGCCATCATGTGGTGGTGCACACTCATGGGCCTTTCATCAAGACACAAATGAATGAAGTGCTGGAACCCGCAAAATACACCCTGATCGACAAAGTAAAAAACATACCTCTCTCTTTTCGTCCTATTCAGACTCCTCTGTCTCGTCATATGCGGCGATGAAATCCAGTAAGTCTGTGTCCAGGAGGCGCTGGGCCCGCTCTGTCTCATTTGAGCTGGGAGGAGACCTGTATGCTGTAGAGCTGGAGAGAAGCTATAAACCCATGGGACCAAGAAACAGCAGCTGGAGCCAGTACAGGCGAAGAAGAGCCGGGAATGAAGAGGACGGGGAAGAATTCAGTGGAATGGGAATTACAGCCAAACCCACCACGAGCAACAACCTGACACCGATTTCTGCCCTTAAAGTCACTCACAGGTGTGTGTGTGTGTGTGTGTGTGTGTGTATGTGTGTGTCTCTTTCGGTCTCTGGAGAATAAGACTGAAAAGTAACTGTCAATAAATTATTTGGACCATTATCAATGTATTTTTTGTGTCGTACAGGTGCTCCATCCTTCTGAATGACACGGTTAAGTGTGACGGGGGCCTCTACAAATCCCTGCAAGCATGGAAAGACCACAAAATGCACATTGAACATGAGGTAATGCTAATTTTAGAAAAATCCTTTTACATGTTAGAGGTGCAGAATATGCCTGGAGTAATTGTGATCATTCCCGTTCCATTCAGATTGAAACTCTGCAGACCAAAATCAAGAACCTGCGTGAGGTCAAAGGTCACCTGAAAAAGGTCCGACCAGAGGAATGCCAGTGTAACCCTCCCAGGTGAGAGCTCTTCCCTTCTACATTGTGGCCAGTACACAAGTGTGCCAGATGTGGCAGCTGTCTCTTGTTTTTCAGTTACTCCCTCCTGGAGAAAGAGGCTTATCGGATGAACGCAGGACAGGCACGCGCGCTCAGGTAAGATTTAATAACGATATAGACATGAATGAGCTATTTTAACTCTGTTTAACTCCTATAATTGTTATTTCTATGTTTATGACACCTTTCCAATTTTTTTCCTCTCCTCTTGTCAGAATACCTTCCAAGCAAAAATCTCTGTGGCTTCAGAAGGAACAGAAACGCAGAAAAAAACTACGAAAATTTCTGAAGAGGCTTCAGAACAATGACACCTGCAGTATGCCAGGACTCACCTGCTTCACCCATGACAACCATCACTGGCAGACTGCCCCCTTCTGGACAAGTGAGGAACGACATGTGTCTAGAGAAAGTGAAACACTGAACCCATGTAGCCTTCTTCTTGGCCTCTAAGGAAAATGTCATGAGACAAAAGTGGCTGATTTTTATTAGAAAAGACAAACAAGCTCAACAAACAGTCCAGCCACAGATGTTCTCAGCTGGTCTGCAGCCTTGAACCTGAAACTACTCAAAAAATATTGTACAAAAACACAAGAAGTGCTTTTTGATGCTTTCTAACGACTTTTCTCAAATAGGCTGCACCTTACAATATAAAATGCCACGTAATCATCAATGTTAATAGTAAAGTCTTGAAAAAGAAGGATTTCCTTCTCAGCTGCTCAGTCACATTAACAAGAATCACAATTGGTGCAACCATACAAAACTATAGTTTTGCAATGAATTTTCTGGCATTAAGGTTGATCTGGGGGGGTGCTCCTTCTCCAAAGGAAGAACAACCCCTAGAATTAAAGGTCACTGTTGAAGAGTCCAAAAGATTCTACAACTGTACGTCTGCAACTGTACTTACTTCCCTCCATTTGAATTAAATACAAATTTGAACTTCTTAAAACCAAAAAATACTATCCAAATGAATCCAGTGTTCTACTTTTTGTCCTATGCGCTATTTTCCATGACAGAATTTTTCAAAAACAATATCTGTCACTCTCAGTTAAAATATCTTGTTTTTCAAACCTACCCCCTCCCTTCCTCACCTCCTCCCTGTCTCCCTCAGTGGGCCCGTTCTGTGCGTGCACCAGTGCCAACAACAATACATACTGGTGCCTCAGGACCATCAATGACACACACAACTTCCTGTTCTGTGAATTTGCCACCGGCTTCCTGGAATACTTTGACCTCAATACTGACCCATACCAGGTATTCTATTATGGCATATTGAAACACCTCAACAAAAATAACAATAAAATGGTCGCACAACATGATTCATGGTTCATTCCAGCGAGCACAGGGGGGACACTTTTCCAGACATTTTCCAGTGTTTCCAAAGCCTTCGCTGACATTTTGCCCCGCTGTTTTTTCTGCAGCTGATAAACGCTGTCAGCACTCTTGACCGCAGCGCTCTGAGTTCAATGCATGAGCAGCTAATGGGCTTACGGGGCTGTAAAGGCCATAAGCAATGCAACCCGGAGAAGGGTGAGTAAAATGTCTCTCAGGTAAAGATGATTTATTGTGGTGCCTCCAGTCGGTTCAAACTGAGATTAATTCTCCATCCACTTCCTTTCAGGAGGAAAGGAGCGAATCCACTTCAGTGAATACAGGTATTTCTTCCTCTTCACAGCTCACAGCTGATTACTTTAACAAACACTCCAGATGGAATTCACATTACAATGAGAATTCAGAGAGGTTTCTGTCTCCCTGATGAGTCTCTGGTTATGTTGCTGCTCATTGGGGAATCAAGGAAATAAAATGATCTGAGACAAAACCTCTTGAAACTGCCATGGTTCTTTAATGTGACGATCAAAGAAAGCCACAGAAGGTTAACATGCAGGCCTGCTTTACAGCTTCTGCTGCTCCATTTAAAAAAAAAAAAGACTCCTAATTGCTTGTTTCTGCTGTGTGTGTGGGGATGTGTGTGTGTGTGTTTGTGTGTGTGTGTGTGTGTGTGTGTGCATGCATGCATCTGCGGCGTACACTTGTGTGTATGTGTGTGTTCTGTGTGTATATATCTGTGTGTTTGTTTCCATGCACGTGCATTTGCCCTGCGCGTGTATACGTGCTGTGCATGCCTCAGGCCAGTTCATCGCAGAAAGAGGCCAAAAGTGAAGAGGCCCTCCTCCAAGTCGCTGTGAGTTTGTCATAACCCATCTGCTCCTTTTTAGTCAGCCAATTTCTACTACTGTCTCCATCAAGACTCTTTTTTTTAAATTGTCTTTAGCTTGGTCAGATGACCTAACGGCATGCTTTCTTATTTATGGTAGCTCTGTGCTCATCCTCTAACAGTAGCTCTCATTTACCTGCATTGCAAATCCACTCTAGGCCTCTCTCACCCACTCAAGCTCATATAAGCAAAGCAATGCAGAAATGACAGCTTCGCTACATTGTGTTTTCTGTCTTGTCGCTATCATTTCTCACCTTTCCCTGCAGTGTATGTAGGAACAGACAACAACTGGAGCCATGGTTTCTTGTAAATGCTTTAGGAGGCACATTTCACTAAAAGTGTTTGTTTCCAATGCACAGGGGTCAGATTTGGGAAGGATGGGTTGGTTAACCACCTGCATCCCACAACCAGCCTTGCAGCATCTTCCGCCCAAGGGAGGAGAATGTGGAGTAAAGGCAGACCTAAGGACCTCTACTACACTTCGTTGGACCATAACCAGAAATATGTCTTTAATCCGGATTCTGTTTTTAAGAGCTGCTCCTTGTGGCCCTTGCCCAAGTCAAGAAGATACTAAAGCTGAAGGAAACTTTAATACTCTTCAATTACATTTTGGAATACATCTCATTTAAATTTACATCTGTTAGACCCCACCTGTCAAGGCTAACAGCAACCGGATGCTAAAAGGCAGGTGGCACGGCCCACAAGCCAATCACTCTTTGCTTGTAGATAATATACAGAAAACTGCTTAAATCTGCTTTCGTTAGGGACTTTTGGGACTGGTTGAGGCATGATGAGCTACATGTCGACGCTGCTGCTACACAATGACGTCGCCGTGGCACATCTTGATGAGAAAGTGGAATGTTAGAAAGGAATTTCCTCTGAGCCAACGTTTCTGCGCATTGGAGGGACACGGACTCTGTGGCAACAACTGTCAGACTTTCTGCGTGATCTTTTGTAACATAGCTGATCTTAACACTGATGAATGTCTTTTCTGGGGGGGGTCACCTCGCTCATGGCTGAGAACTACGAGGTGGCCAGAGGTTGCCTGCAAAACCCACAGCCTGTTGAGGAGGTGTGGTCATTGTCATGAACAGGCCTCCTCTACACAATCCTTTCACAATCCTACAATCCACTAGAACTTTTGACCATTGACACAACGCGTCTTTAAAGAATACCATTTATTTCCTTTGTCAAAACCACACTGTAAACGTTCCCAAATAGTTCCGCTTGCTAGACATGGTGCTACAGGATGACAATACAAAATCAAATCTCGCTGTACAGTGCAGTATATATTTGAATGTATGTTGTGCAATTAATATAAAAGTTTACAATATTTTTTATAATACTGAAGAAGAGGCAGAGCTCGTCACACAATATGAGCTGAAAAAACAAGTTTGCGTATGATATTTCATTTCCCATGATATCTGTGTTGGTTGATTTCTTATTGAAAAGCACTTAAAGGGTTCACTGTGAAACATGACCATGTACTTAAATGAATCCAGTCTACTCTGTGCCACAGGAAAAACACAGCTCTGTAATACTTGCTGATGTGATGTTTAGCTTCTTGGCTTTGTCGGCTTTTCGGACGTTTGTTCGTTTCTTCTTAGGATTTTCCATAGCTCTAGTTTACTGATAGTAATAGTAAATAAAGTGTTTGTTGTCCATGCCTTACCCGTCTTGTATCCTGGGGTCACAGGAGGGTCTCCTCTTTCTCCTGTCCAGCAGGTGTCTCTCTCTGCCTGTGTCAAGTTAAAAACCCGCAGCAGCCAATGCAGACTGCTCCGTGGGCTGCAGCATCAAACAGACCCTGCTTATACTCAGAACATTTTTTTTTGCTGTGCAACCCTGGCATAAAAAAAAATCACCCGACTCAAATAACTTCAGTGTGTTTTTCGGTGGTTATGACCAGAGGAGAGCACAATACCAGCTGGAACCCGTTTGTCACTTTAATGTTCCATCTAAAATAATATTATAGTATAGTATATAATAGTATATTCCATCTAAAAAGTACGTTAATAGGCCATGGGAATTTTCTTAGGACTCTCGTGAGCTGGATGCGGAGCTCTGGGCTTCAGCTTCCCATCCCTCGTTCCCCTTCAGTCCGCGGTTGGGCTCCTCTTGCCGGGGCAGCCTGCGCAGGACTCCGGCTTCATGGGGTGGTGGGTATGGAGTAAAAGGGGAGGAGTTGTGGAGGGGAGGGGGGGGTGCACACACGGTCTCTGGGTGGGGGGTTGCAGACTGGGTGACCCCCATCCCAACCCATGACTCACGTGCAGAGGCGGAGACTCCATTTCGGATTCGCCGCCGCCGGCCGGACCGTCCTGTACCCGCCGCTCTGCTGCTCACAAAACCCGAGCCGAGAAGAAGAGACACATTTCCACCCCCACCCCCCGTCGTCATTTAGGCCTCGTTTACAATGTGAAGAAAATGGCCGGGACCAGGTAAGTTTACTGTATTTAATTTCGAAGCCAACTTCGGTGGGGAAAGTTTAGCTAGCTCCCGGCCGCCGAAGGCTCTCGGAGAGGGAGCCCGCGCCACTAACCGGACAGCTAAACTCCGCAAGAGGAGTCAGTGGAAGTCATTTAAAAAAAGCTGGAGTTCTGGCAAAAAAAAAAAAAGACGAGCAGACACTTAAAAATGGGTTTGGGGAAACGTGGGAATCCACGGAGTTGAGACGGTACAGGTGTTCTGTTACATGGAACGTTAGAGGCTGTTGAAGCACTCGACGTGCGCGCGCGGAGCTCAGAAGAACGTAGGAAAAGTTGATCCGTGACGATAGAAATGTCTGGTTTTTCTCTTGGCCGTAAGCGTTTAAACAGCCACGTTAACCCCGCTGCACATTGACCACCAACTCCATCTTTTACTTTTTAAAATTTTTTTGCTTTCATGTCGTCCACTAATTGGCCCGGGCAGCTCTCTTTGCTGTGGTAACTTTCGGGGACCCGTAACCAAAACGGAAGGCAAATGTTCACTAAGTCCCCGTTTGTCGTTCCACTTTTCACGGGTGGCTCTTTGGTCTCCGCTACGGGTTTGATCTCCATATGTCGGATGTCTTCACCATATGCTTTGACTGCAGATGTGCTATAAAACTTCCTTTAAAAAGAAAAAAAAAAGCTTGTCAAACGCAGACATCCTTTAGTCCCCACAGCGTATATAAAAAACCTGCTGACATGCTATCTGTACCAGATTTGACAGCTATTATTGTTGGGCTGTGGGGTAGCTATTTTAGTCACTTCAAATAATAAGAGTGAGATGGTTTATTGAAAGCGTTTGCTGAATTTAAGGGAATCTTTGTTGGATGGGGTGCCTCACATATAATTTGGCTCGTCACCACCTCTGTCAGGTGTTGTTTGTGTTGGCTGAAGGTGTTAGTGGGCCACAGCAGGACACCAGCCTGTCCTCCTGTGTTGTCCATCAGCTCGCTGGACCTCTCTGCCCGTCCGCATTTATGGACACATGGCAGGATGGTGAAAGCCCCAGACCGTCCTTTGGATGCCACATAAATCAATCCTCCATTCAGGAACTTGTGGAACTTAGATAGCTGGAATCAGAATGGCATGGTGTGCCTCGGTGTCAAACAAATGGGGCATAATTAAGCCCCCCCCCCCACAGAAAAATGAATGAAAACTGGGTCTATAGACAAAGACCTGACCGGATGTCCGTCCCATAGATGATTGAACAATGGGATAAGTATGTTTTCCAGTTGAAGGGAGGTGATTTTTTTTGTTTTGTTTTGGAGCTTGCTTTGCACTGGTCCGTTTCTTGTAAGGGGGTTTTGAAAAGCCAACAATCGAGCCACCGCTACTGAACGTTCTTTATTTATTTTTACAGCTTCAGTCCAGATGATTCAGCAATAACATCCTCCGTTCCTGTCCTATAATCCTGGTCACATCCTCGGGGATGAGCGCTCTTTAAAGTCGGCGCTCCCTTTTCGTTTGACTCAGATTGATCTGACGCCGTGACTCTTTAATAAGGTTAAGGTGATTTGGACCAACGCGGCTGTCCGCACCTGTGCCACCGTTTGACGTTTTGCACCTTCCCTCTCGGGGGATTAGGGGCTGGCTTTGAGCCTAATGCAGAGGATGCTGATCATCACCCAGCAGCATTACAGCGGATAATAACTTGTTGTACTGTCAGATTGGCTCTCAAATATGTTTGAGCTGCCAGATGAAGAAGAGTCAGTGAGTTGTGCAAACGTCTGAGTACAACAATCACAATTAGGAATGTAAGGGAGAAAAAACGGGACTCCCACAACCCAAAAGTGTGGTGTTATAAGGAAAATTGGAATCTCTGTACATAGCGATCCCCTGTGATAGCCTCTTAGATCCGCTCCTCCCATCAGGCCCACGCACACCCGGCCTTAACGTCTTCACCAGACCACTCTGCAATTCTAATCCTGGAGGCCCCGTCGTCTACACCTTCGCTTCCTGTGGAAGACACTAGGTGTATTCTCCTCCTCTGTGGCTCCTTGTCCAGCCATTGACCCCCCTCTCCTTCCCCTTCTCTCATCTGACCCTGTAACTCTACTCTGGGATTAGACTCTGGCCTCATTTGTCATGTCAGCATGGGGGGGATTCGGGGTCGGGGGATGGTGCGGCCCTTCTCAACTTTAAGTCACAAACTTTTCCTGGTTTTAGGCAAACTGGTGAAAAAAAAACGTACTGACCGATGCTGTTTTGATTAACTGGGGGCACAGCTAGAGGAGGCAGTAGGAAGGTCTGGCTATACGCGCACACACGTGACCTTGTGTGATTGGAAAAGATAAAAGTTTGAACAATTAAAGTACACCATCACACAGTAATTGGCCCATTTATTTTCCCTTGCTTGGACAAGTGACCCCATTGTTGGCGCCCGGACAGCTGGTGCGCTGGACAGAAAGGCCCAGCCCGCGCGCCGTAAACAATCCGATCCCGTCTTCAGCCCCTCGTGCACATGTTCACTCTCGTCCAGAGTCTGATCTGACCTGAAAAGTCTCCATCTGCTCTCCAGCTTAGAGCGGGTTGGATTCCTTGGAAGGACAGGGGGGGGGGGGGGACTTCTGTTTGGCCAGGATCGCTTCCTATAAAAGGGAATTTAGCGTCCCCTGTCACTTTGGCGCGTGTGCTCACTCGGAACCGCTCGGCCGGGCAGCGAGGAGGCTTGGAGTTGGACCTCTGCAGGACAATGCTGCCCATACACGGCATCACAGAGCGTTCCTTCTCTGCCTCTAGCCTGTAGGTGGATTACAATGCGGGTGTCTGAAGTAACGGTCAACCGCCGGCACAAAAATGCTCTCCTGGACGCGTAGGGGAGGTAGGCACTTTTCATTTCCCCGTCTCACGGAGAATCGGTTCGTTGCAGTGGGGGAGGCTGAACATTTTTGGCAGCTCTGAGGAACGAATGCGCTCCGGCCATGTAAAATTGCTGGAAAGGAGCATGGGAAAAGCGGGCCGCGCTGAAGGTGGCTCAGTGACCTTGCGAGATCCAGTTTAATCCAGCGCCAGTGAAGAGGGGAAACTGTCTCTAGTTCTGGATTAGGGCAGCTGTTGAAGGAGGTCACCCCGGACCTCCTTTCCATGCCCCCAAGCCCCTCCCCAGCATCGCTCTGATTGGCCGGGTTCCCCTGTGTGGAGGCAGCGTGGAGAGTTCTGGTTGAATGGCGCCCGCCTGTTGATCTGACAATAGTCTGCATTGTTCTGCACTATCACAGGATTCAGAGTGGGCCGCATATAACCTGCTTTGTAATGCATATGACTGTCAACCATCACAGGACATTCTTATTTACGAGCTGCCCCCCCTTTTATTTTGCCGTTCTCAGAAAGCTTGAAAGTTTTAACAAAAAGTTGTTAGTGATGGCAGCGGAAAAAGATAAGCGCTTTTTTTTCCCCTTTCCATTTATTATCACAGACATGGTAAACGCTGCTGTTGTGTAGGATGTTTTTTGTTTTTGTTTTTTCTTTCATTGCAGTGGAAAGTTTGTTTTTTTTTAGACTGCCTGATATGCTTTGGACGGCGTTTTGTTTGTGTAAGTTTGTGGAAACTAAACCGGTTCATCTGCTTGTGGTTTCAGGTTTGCCATTGTTGTCGCCCGTAACTGTCAATCAACCTTAAAGAAATCATTCGAAATACACATTTAGTCATCCTCAATGCATTTTTTGAATAGTGGGCTGCTTCCGTTTCGTGATGACCGTTGTTTTTCTGTCCGGTTTGGTGTTGAGCACCAGCAGCAGAAGATCAATGCAGCGGATGAGATTGTCCCTCTGGGTCTGTGCACATGATGCAATGTGGCCCACTTAGCAGCCTTAAGAAGGCTTTCGCGTCCAACTCCAGCAGCTTGTTAGCATCTTTATCCGACTTTTTGGAGGTGGGTCATGTGACAGCTTTGGAGCGCACCCCTCTGCTCATCCCAATCCTCCCACGCTTCTGGCTGCTCGGATTTTAGGTCTTAAAGTGCTTTACCTCTCTTCCCCTCTCTGACAACATGCAACCGAGGCTCCTTGTTCGCCTCATAGAGGGCCTACTCTGTTGCCCCCCCCCCATCACCCCCAAAACCATGTCAGCCAGTGACTTGTGAGAAATGGACACGGACAACTGTGGATGTTTGGAGGGAGAAACGGGAAAGAGGAGACGGTCTGATGAGGGGAAACATTGTGGGAACTTCTGTGGCTGTGGCCATTAATTGGGTTGGCTCCCAAACCATTCCATTATAGGCTTCTCCAAACACAATTTAATGTTTTTCTTCTTTTTTTCTGAGTGGCTAAACACACGGTGTCAATGGAAGAACAAAGGGAGCTACGTCCCAGACCTGGCTTCCACTTTGATGAGAGACACCGAGAGAATAAACGGCCATTTCGTGCCATTGTTTGTTGTGAAATCAGCTGTGGCTCGCTCGCGCAGACAATCGCCAAATGCCCCCTCCATGCTCCTCCTGACTCTAGCGAGGAGCGGGAGGTGTTAACCAAAAGGGCCGCGGAATGTGTGAATGACAGCTGCTGGACAGTTTGCTGTCAGCCAAGGCATTCGTACTCTTCCCCTCTCGCTGGGGCTGTTCTGGAGGCCCCGGCGGTGAGTAAGAAGCCTGTCCCCGGCTTCCTGCACACGCTGTCCCCCGCACACACCCGGCCCCGGCTCCGTTTCCTACAGAAAGCCTTTTCTTTTCCGTGATAGCTTTCAGGAAACTGGCCTCTGCCTCAGTTTAAAAAAAAAAAGAGAAAAGTGAATTGTGCCTGTGATAAAGAGAGATGCCTCCTCTTTGGTTTAGGTGCAGCTGATGAGGTCATACCAACACACACACACACACACACACACACACACACACCCTGTTCATCTGCTGGCTTCTTCGTGCCATAGAAAAAACAGGATTGGGACCACAGCAGGTTTTCGGTTCCCCTCCGCCGTTGGGCCCGGCTAGCGGAGCGGCTGCCAAAGCGCTCAGTACTCCGTCCGTGTCCCTGCTCTTGTTTTACAATATTTAGATAAGCGGGTTGCCTAGCAGCCGCGCTGAATAGACTTTGTACTCGGCTTATCCACGACCAAGCTGAAGTCCTTTTCTGGCGGCAGATCTCTTGGCTCTGAGCCGCTGCGCTGGCTCCATGGCAGCCGGTAAGGGGCAGTTTTTCTGAATGTTTTTGAACATTCGGGATGGCTTTACATGTGCGGGGTCGGGCGTATGCACGATCCCACCTTTACTCGGGACAATAACTTATTCCTGTGCCAGTATCTGAGGAGAAAGCAGCTTTCACGCCTCCAAATAGGAAATAGCACTCCTGTAAATAAACTGGCAGGGTGGACCTCGGCACTTGTTGCTTTGCCTGGCGAGCAGAGGGCTAAGGTTACCTAGATGAATGACAAACCCTGTGTGAGGGCCCCGCCTGCTCTGGCCCCTTAAAAAAAAAAAAGCCCCAAGCACCAGCTCTGTGTCTACTCTTGCAGGGGAAAAGTGCTGGGTTACCAGAAGGGCGACGGGCCCACCGATTCTACTTGATTCTGTCACTTTAACAGTTTTACGGACAACTGAAACCAGTAACGCCGCCCCCCCCCCATCCTCCCTTCTCAGACTCTTGCGGGTTTCTATCGGTACATCACGAATGCCTCCGTAGCACTGAAGCATAAAGCTGCAATTCAGCCACAGCGAGAGTATCTGAGGGAGCTCTGCTGCCGCCCCTTAGTCAAATCTCCATGCTTTCCATAGTGAAACTCCGCCCAGCTCTCTTTCTTTTCTATCTCTTTAAAAAAAAAAAAGACATTTAATTTGAGTGTGTCAGAGAGGCAGAGCTGGACAATGACACAAGACTGCTCGTTGCCCTATTTCTAGCTAAATGCATTGTCCAGTCCCCTGTGTTTACTGCTACTGGGAAAAGTGCCATTTACACTTTGGCGTTGGCTCTGAACAATGGGGCAGATTCCATGAGCCGCGCTCTGTTGTTTCCCTCTCTCTGGGAAAACTGCCCTCGGTCCCAGTTATTTTCGTGCCGGCCTGTAAACGGGGTTTGATCGATAGCAGCGTTTCTGCCTCACAAAGCCCCGGGCGCACTGCGCCTGTAGGTTCCAGCACGTTTGGGGAGGTGCGTTTGTGTGCGCGTTTTTTTTTCGGTGTGTTGGTTTTGGCCTCTTGGTCTAGATGGTGGGGTCTGTTTTTCTGCAATTTGGCCATCTTTATTTTTAGCCGCGGTGGAGTAACCACGTGCTGCTGAAATGTCTCCTTGACCCAAATGGGAGACGAGGACCCTGTTTGCCACGGGGAGAGCGGGGAGCCGGCTACACACACGGAAAAAGTAAAAAAAACAAGGCCAGAAGTTTGTCCCTTCAGCTTTGTCGCCTCTGTCCTGTTGTCGGGACAGAAGTCCAGTGAATCAGCAGGAGTTTGGAAGCAGAAACGATTCGGACAAATGCTCGCACAGGGGACCGGCTTCAAATGGTGTATGTTTTTCTGCCGGTTAAAAAAAAAAAACGCCACCCGACCCTCGGGGTGAAAGTGGAGGCAGCTGCCGCATTAGGGCAGAAAGAACCCATACGGCACATCTCTGCTAAACGGGTCTGCTTCAATTAGATTGAGTTTCCCCAGAGGTAAATCAGGTGCAGTGTGCTCTGGTCATAGGACCGGGTGTGGAGCGAGTTAATTTTAGATCAATATAAAACATCTCTGTTGGAGTTTACCTCCGCCGAGCTGGCGGAGACTGCATTCCAAGCCATTTATGAACATTTGCAGCGTGAGGCATATTGTCTCAGTTTGTTTGGCGTCTCCGGCCATACTTTCATGTCTGCTTTTCCCGAGTTTGACTAAAGCTGACGCAGACTGAGATTTATTAACCCAGGGGCGTATAGAGTCCACTTTTAGTAGATAATCCCTCCTAAAAAAAATGGGCGACCCTGCTCATTGGAACCTTTGCTCCTCCATTTTCTGTCAGTGGAGCTGCTGCTATGTTGGTGTCTGTCAGTCTCTCTTTTTTTTTTTCTCTTTCCCCCTGTCTTCTAAAAAAAGGGATTTCAGAACCTGGACAACAGCCCGTCCTGCTGCTTATCTGGTCATGTCAACAGAGCCCAGCAGGCTGGCTCTCAGCTCTTAACTGCTGTTTATTTACCCAAAAGGGAGCAGCCTCTTTTGCGACTTGCACACCCCGCTGCTGCTCCTCTCGTCAGTTACGGGCCCCCCAAACCCCGGTTTCCTGTCGGGACGCTCATCGCCGCTGTGGAGTTTAAGAACAGAAAATAATTTGGAGGGAGGCCGTGACACATACACTCGGCCTCCTGCGATTCCCATGTTCGCCTTTATCCTCTGTGAGGTTATTTGGCTTCAGACTCAAATGGAGCCATGAAGAACACAGCGTGAAGAGATGAGCCTCTTACTGCGGGAACGCCTTTTTAGCAGACCGGGGGCAATAAAGGGATGAAGGCTCTGGTATGTGTGGGCTGCTGTTGACTGTTGACTGCGCATTGAATGCCCCATTATATTCCCGGCCTCCCGCCCAGTAAGTGTCGCGGATCTAATCGGTCTGAAAGTCCTCTTCTTTTAGCGGGGCCTCGTTCGAAACATGAGGAAGTCGGAGTCTGAACAGCTTTTGCTCCAGACCTGGTTTTTTAAATACTTATTAACTTTTCTTTTTCCAAGAGATCTCCTTTACTTGTTGGGGTTAGAAAAAACAAAAATAAAACATGTTGAGTGCTCAAAAGGTCAGAGCTGCTGGCCTGGTGTGAGGGACTGAGCCAGATGGCTTCCCAGCAGAGCGTGGGGCCACATGGGTAAAGGCCGCATGGAGAGCTCTAATAACCCCCCCCCCCAAACCTCTTTCTCTGAAACGTAAAGAGGCTGGTTCTCGGCGCTGGGTGAGCAGGTATCAGAGTGACTCCAGGCTTTTACGGGGACATCGGAGCAGCTGTTGTTCCCGGCTGATGGCCTAAATCTGGCACCTCGCTCCTCCGCGTCCATTCCTGAGGGCCGGGTGTAACACAAGGTTGTTTGGGCAGGAACGTGAGAAACTGGCGTGTGTTTTGTGGACACGGAGGGGGGGGGGGCGGCCGCCCCCTCTTATCAGCCCAGGTAGCCAGGATGGCACAAACAGCCGGGCCAGAGAGGATAAAGGCCTCTCTGTCTTAAGAAAGTTGGGAAAACATCCAAATCTCGAGCAGATTCTTGTGACACTAATTCCTCCCTGCTAGCCCTTTCTGCCAAGGATGCTAAGCTAGAGTTGGGCGGGATATGAAAGGACAGAAAGGAGCCCAGCTCTGCCAGGACCCTCAAGTGGTCATTATTGGAGAGGACAGAGAACCCTTTTAATGTGTTGGTTACTTGGTGCTGACCTACAGCAAAGGGCTCCTCCTGGCCGGTTGTTGCCGCGGCCGTCTCTCCCCACATGGATTTGGTGGCACATTGAAGGCCTCCACCTGTGGACAAGATCACAGGAGACATTAACTGAGCGTCCTAAAGTAACGAACCATCGGCCAGCAGTGTTTTGTGTGCGAAACATCCTGACCCGCATTTTTATCTGGCCGGCTTCTGCTCACACTTGTAATCTGTCACGGTATCATTCAGTAGCATTTCACTCTTTAACAGTTTCATGTGATGGCCCTGAAAGTCAGTTCCCAATCTAATAGTGTGTAACTACTTTTCCTTGTGGACTCTTTTACTCTCTACGGTTTCTTTTCTTTTTTTTCTTTCTCCCCTTCCCGCTCTCTCCTCCTCTCTTTTTTTTCTTTCCTTTTTTATGCGCGTCTTTTATCCCTTTCCCTGCCCACTGTCTTTGTGTGTGTGTGTTTTCTGTATTGTGCTGAGTTGGCAGTTGATTGTAGTGGGGCTGTGTTTTTTTGAAGCCCTCTGAGCGTATGGCTCCCTTTGGGCCCCGCTGACTCCACGGCCGGCCTCCCTCTGAGTGAGTCCACCTGTCTCCTTACCCGCCATCTCCCCGGCAGCTCCACTGCCTGGAGGTGACATCACTTCTAACACACACACACAGTTGGATGCGTGTGGGAGACGTGGATAGTAACACCCCGTCTCCATATGGGGAAAGTGGGCACCGCTCAACCCCTCAGTTTGTCAGACGGTGCGGGTTGTTTACGTCCCGTCCAGCTGATGAGCAGTCGGACGTAGCTGTGGCCTCTAAAGCAGATCTGTGTCCAGTTTTTTGTCTAACCTGCTGGAAGCGGCTCTTCATAATGCGCCCCCTCTCTTCCCGCACAGCTCTGATTGGGTGGAGATCCTGGAGCCCCGCTCCCGCGAGCGCATGTACGTGAATCTGGCCACCGGCGAGTGCGGCTGGGATCCTCCCTCGGGCGTTCCTGTCCGGCAGGCCGACGGCAACCAGTGGTGGGAGCTGTTTGACCCCCAAAGCGGCCGCTTCTACTACTACAACTCCACCGGGCGCCGCACCGTCTGGCATCGGCCGGCCGGCGCCGACATCGTGCCCCTGTCCCAGCTCCAGGCCATGAAGCGCTGCAGCGAGGCCAAACGGGCCGGAGGAGGAGGAGGAGGAGGGGGGGGCGCGGAGAAGCACCCCCACGGGACCACGGGGAGCGTGGGCAGCGCGGGGAGCCAGGGGCGCTGCACCCCGCTGCCCGAGCAGGACCCCGACAGCCCCGTGCCCAGAGCCCAGGGGCCCGGCGAGGAGGGCGACGGCCCCGAGCCGGACCCGGCCGCCGCCGGCCCCCCCCAGGGAGACGAGGGCAGCGCAGAGCACAGCACGGACTCTCAGAGGTAAGTCTGACTAAACCTCAAGTAGCTTATGCAGAATTTGTGCTCGATCATTAGAGGCTCAGATTACCATGATAGCGGGCGAGGGGGGGGTGTTAGTTGTCATCGCAGCATGTTTCATAGCGAGTTGTAAAGACTCTGAACGCTTCTGCTGTGAGAATTTGCAAGATTGTGTTGACTTTTGACCGACTGGAACTGCCTGCCTGTTTTCCTTCTCACTTATCTGAACGGCCCATATGTCCCGTGTTTCCATATGGTTGCCTGTGAACCATGCCCAGCCATTTTAGCAAATCGCTTCCAAATGTGGAGAGCGGTCACTTGTATTAGAGAGCGTGACATTCCCCCCCCCTCCCCTCCAGGTTTACTGGTGCAGAACGGGCTTAAACAGTAAGTCATTCAGAGCCCCCATCATGCGATCGGTGTTGTGGCCTCATCAAAACCACGTCCCTTCCTTCCAAGTCAAATACCACGCATGCCACTTGTGTTTCCCCTGGCTCAGGGCCACTGAGGCCATCTCTGTGTCCCTCTGTGTGCTGACCACCAGCCTGCCCAGCTCTGCTCTCAAATACTCATTTCATTTTCCTAAAACAAATCCCCTCCCCGGGCCACAGAAAAACTGTAACCCCCTTTAATGTGCATGCATGGCAGGCATGTGAGAGAGTGTTGTTTATGGTTAATAACAAGCAGAACCTCCACATTCCAGCTGCTTATGAACAAAACCGACTCTGCTGCTTTTTTTTTTTTTTTTTTAAGGGTCTGCCTTTGCAACCGTGGCTCTTTGCTTTCTTTTTCCCTCTGCTCTCTTACCCTCTGATACTTTAGCATTGTGTAAGGGCAAGGGGGAGGACTAACTGGAAGGCCGTGGATTTTAGGATGACACTACTGGAGACCTTATAGGATTACATCTGGTGTCTGTTGACGGAGATCAAACTCTCTATCAGGGTCCCACGCTGCCCCGGTAACTGAGCCTCTCCCAGATCCCCTCCCCGTAAAAACAATGAGCCGTTATGTTCCACAGTGGAAAGCTTAGGAACCTTCAGCTGGCTGTGGGGTTGATACCCTTCTTGGCCATATGGCCCATCACATGCTCACCCTCAGTATCTGGACAGGTAATTAGACACAAACGCCACAAAATGCTCAGAATAGGTGGAATGCATCAGCCCAAAATGAACGTCAGACATGCCTATTAACAATGACAAGAAACAGGACACGGAAGCAAGAAATAAAAGAAAAATAACCTACAGGGTCACTGTCCTTTATGGTCTGCCAATTGTTCTTACCCTCCCAGATCAGAGGAGTTAGAAAGTGTCCCGTTTTAGTTTTGTTGAAATGTTTTTTGTTGTTTTACCTCTGGTCATAATTCTTCACTTCCATACAGGGGGAATTTTCCTTTTTTCCCCCCTCCCATTGAGCCTATTTGGTTCCGAACATGCCATAACACGTTCTGTCCACTCCCCCAGCCCGCTTTCTTTTCCTTACTGCAGATGAAATGTTATTAACTTCTGACCTTTGAAAAACAAATCGCCCCTTTGTGGAGATGGGACAATCCCAGCTCTGCCAGGGCTAGTTTCCTTTTGTCTCGGGCTATTAATAAACCCGTTCAAAACAGATAGTTTCCTCACTCTGCATTCTTTCTGAAAGTTATTGTAAGCTCTTTGGTTCGCGCCGCCACCTTTCTCTGCAGATTCCTCTGTCTGCAGGACTCCCGTCCACAGTCATAGGAGCACGCCTGCCCGAGTGCCTTATCCTTTAATCATTGGCCAGGTTTTTATCACATGGCGCGGGAATTTCTTGGCACTTTTTAGGTCTGTTCAGCTCATCAGGGAAGTACCTCGGTGTCCGCGGATAAACATGCCGGTCATGCTATTGACAGGAAACGGAGGCAAACTGATCTCTTTTCACCATGTCGGAAGAAAGGTGTTGCAAATCAAACAGGTCCACCCACGACCTCCGTTTTTGGATGCTCCTCACTGACAGTTTTTTTTTTTCCTATTGGTAATGCAACAAAAGTCTGTCGCTGCTGCGTGTGGAGCCTTTGACCCGCACACCTGCACACCTCGGTAGAGCTGAAAAATGTTGAGGCTTGACAGGATGTTGCTGGACAGCCCACAGATGACTCACAGTGGCTTGCATCAGTGGCATCGCTCTTTTGTTTCCCGGAGCTCCCCGAGGTGTTTAACAGGCCACTATAAGCGAACAAAAGCCCTTACTTAAAGCTAGTTATCCCCCCGGGGTCAACTGAAGGCTTCCACAAAGCTGGATGTGAACGGGAGCCGTATTGAGACGAACAATAAACAACTTGTGCGCGCCCTCTCATTTAACCCTGTAATGACATGGCTGCAAACTGGTCTTCACTCAGAGGCAGTAACACTCATATCAGCCCCTTAGAAACTCACCTTTCCTGATTTTGTGCTGGTTTAGAAGTTCTCTGTGATTCAAAAAGGTGAGATTTCAGTGCCTAAGTGAGCTGCTTTTTAGGGTTGGTTCTTAAAAACCAACAAAAACTCCCAACAAAAACGGTGTACCTGGTTTTTATGAGCACGCAGTCAAAGCGATGTCAGGTTTTCTAGTTTTTCTAAATATGTTAAGCAAACTTGGTCATGAAAGGCATCTCACTAAAGATGATTTTCAATTTCAGTTTCTCTGGGGGGAATTTTTAAGTGGGGTTTTTGGAAATAGTTTACCCAGGAAGACAAAAGCAAAAGTGCCTGTGGGGAGGGGGAGCCACAACAAACCATCTCCATTTCACGTGCCTGTGACTCACAGGCTGTGAGCCATGTGGGAGAAATCACCAGTGGGGTGTATTTAGGAAACGAGGGGGCGTCTTATGGGCCAGATAAATTGTTTTTTTTAATGACTCATACATTCCGTTCATGTTTACTGCAAGAGCAGAAGCCTCTTATGCTTTTCATCTCCCGCCACTCTAAGGACGGAGCCACAACATTTTTAGTCTCCGTGGAAGAACCTGTTTCATCTCAGCGTTCCTGGTGTGGTAAACTCATTCTTCACATCTTTTATTGCTGCCCCTTAAAGTGCGCCCGTAATGCTAAAAACGTTGTTTTTTCCATCTAAAACCCTACACCTCTGTCTGGTTAAAGTTGACAACATGCTTTTTCTTTCTCTCTCTCTTTTCTGTTTTTTTTATTTTTTAAGATGCTAGTGCTCTTTCTCCACGCATTCCACTTTTCACTCTGCATTTCCCGTAATTGCTGAGTTTATGGTATGGCCAAGAGCTGGATTACAGAGCAGCGGTGTATCTGAAACCTCTATTGTTTTATTTGAACTATCATTCAAAGCCTCTTTTTGCCGTTGACCTCTTTTTTTTTCTTTTTCGAAAAACCAATGACGCCACATGTGAACTGGCCTCACACTGACCATCTAACAGATGGACAGTCACCATGCGTACTACTCTACTTTTTTCTTGCTTGTCTCTTTTTTTATCTGATTTTTTGTCGTGGGATAGAGGCCGACAGGAGCTTCAGTGATATTGCTCGGCCTCCTCTTATAACAACCCACAGATACACTTTCAGATTCCAGGGAAGGGTCTCTGTGGTATCCAGCTGGGTTCGGATTTTACCCTCCGGCCAATCCAGTAGGAGTCATCCTGACCTAGCCCAGTTTTCCCTCTCAGGGCCGGGCCGGGTCGCCGGAGCCACAGATAGACTCAGCTGCCAGACTTCTCGGCTCAGAGGTGTGTCGGTTCAGCTGTTGTGGGACAGCTGTCTCTGGAGGAAGTGAGATGCTACCAGCTTTGCCTCAAACTGACCACGTTTCTTTGTGGCGTTAATTTTTGCTAAAGACAGGCTGCTCTAAAGCCGAAAAAAGAAACTCTGAGCTTCGGCCAAATGCTCACAACATTGTCCGTAGTGATTCCTCTGTGTGCTTTCAGTTTCCTTCCTCTACGCAGATCGGGGCTGTCCCATTGGTCTGTCCACTGAGGTGTTTGTGCAGCAGTAGCCTGGCCCGTGTGACCTCATTTCCTCTTCCTGTCCAGCAAATGTTAATAATAACCCCTGTTTTTTTGTTTTTTTTCGATCTCCCAATTTCCAAATCAAAGCCCGATCCATCTGAGTGACTCAGCTGATGTGTTTTCCGACATGTATTATTCTGGGCAGTAAAATGGAATAGACATCTGCTTAAAGCAGTCTCTCCACAGCAGCATGCGCTGCGGCTACTGGCACGAACTGACCACAAGCACATTCAGAAAAAGTGACAGATGTATCTTGGATCCTTTTGTTTGGATACCAGGCACCAACGCTGCTGAGATTAATTGGAACTTGCTGACCGTTAAGTCAATTTGTTGCTTCAGAAGCCAATCGGATTACCCCATTCGTTCCCAGAAGGCCTCTCACTCTAATTTAATCTTCCTTTTTAATTTTTTTTTATTTCTTATCTTCCCTAATATCTCTCATGCTACCTTCAGTTTTGAAAGACAGGGTCTGTGAGCCATATGGGGATATGCTACAGGTATGTGAGCTTGTGTTTGTGTCTAATCGGGTGTACCAGGGGAAAGGCTGGAATGGAAGTGATCCATTCGCAAACAGAGGGAGATTGGGAAAAAAAGTCTTGGGCAAGTTCATACACTCCCACTAATAACGATCATGTCCTTTTAACCACCGTGATGGCATAATCCACCTCCTTCTGCTAACATTCAGCCAGCACCTGGCAGATGCACTCCCTTTCTAAACAACTTTGTGGTTCAAGCAACGTCCCGACCCGCTCAGTGTTACATAACCTGAGGATGATTCGTCGTCTTTTCCCCCTCTTTTTTCTACCCCCCTGTCTCATTTCTGTCACTGAGGGGGGCGTCTCCGTGACGATGGCACAGCCATGCATTGTGTAAGGCTCTGCTCATCGCTACAAAGGCCTCCTGAATGAGCCCTGAGAATTCCTAGCCTCCCGCTCAGTCCCTCTCTGCACTCTCCCACGACTAATCCCCACCCCGTCTCATTTACACACACACACTCACACCGCGCTCTTTAGGTTCCGCAGCTCCCTCACCGCTCCAGCCAAAACCACCAGCACCAAATGCCTCTCGCCGTGGTAGTTTCTCACCATTGTGCTGCGCTGGTTTTGCTGGTGTCTCAGAATTTATACGGCAGGATTACAAGGCACTGGGTTGAGAGCGAAGGCGCGGTAAACCTTTAGTCACCATCATGGAAAGCCGTCCATTCCAAACTCCCTGCTGACACCCAGTGTGTGGTGCCATTGCCCTGGGAGGGGAGGGGGGGCGGGTGAACATGTGAGACCTTTGCTGAGCCGGGGTGAGACAATAGTGGGCAAAGAACAATGAAAAAAGCTTCACAAAATTCCTTTCCCCAGACACTGAGCTGCTCCCTAAAGGCCTACGTTCAGTGTTCAGTTCTTGCCTCTTTTTTCAACTTTACCCTCTGAGTTGATTATTTAATTAGGAAAAAAGTGGGAAAGAAATGTTTTTTTTTCATCATGAGGAAGTATGAAGTCAGACCTTTTCATAAAGCCCTGTGTAATCCCCCCCTCCCACCCCCCAAAAAAAGCAGCGTGTGAACCTTACATTGAGCATTTCCTGTTTGTAATGAATATGGAGAATCTCTCCCTCCAACCCCCCTCCAGACAGGAAGTGGCGGTCACTCTTTTGTCGGGGTCAGTCTTCATAAAGTTTCTCACTACCCCAACAAGAGGGACCGTCTTAGGTTGGGGTGACATGTTTTGACTTGTCATTGGAGCAATTTTAAAGTTTGAAATGGAGTTAAATGAGCCCCCCCTCATGTGAGCTGGCTATGCTGTGGCATCTCCAGCTAACTGGTCAGCTGTATGTGACCTGAGCAGACATTTAGGGGGGCCTTTGTGTCTCCACTTCCTGTTTGACAAGACCAGAGTGAGAAAACATGCGCTGTTTCAAAGGGCCCAGATGCAGTTTTTCCCTTTAACAGCCACCACCTATCCAACCAACCCCCCCAAACACTCTTGTCTGATGGCGCACACTCACACTTGCCTGCAACGGCCAAACAGTGGTTTGTCACACGCGTCTTGTCTGGAAGTGTGCTAATTGGGCAGTAAAGTGTGTGGATTGTTTTTCGGTGTGGCGGGGAGAGGCCGGGGGGGGCGTTTGGGACAGCGGAGGCAGGGACAGCCCGTTTGGGTACGCTGCCAGCTGGCTGAAGCCCAGCTGTGGTTGGCCAATCTGTGGGAACGTTTGAGGAGAGTGTTTACATTCAAACGACTGAGGTGGTGTTGGAGGGGGTGTGAGGTGGGGTGGGGAGGGGGGTCAGACAGTGACCTGACAGAGAAAGAGGGGGAGATGAAGGGCCCAGCCGCAGCTGAGGAGACCAAAGGAAATTTGCCGTTAGAATGAGGGACCTCAGGGGAATTGTTTGAGCATTGTTCCAGAAGGGGAGGGTCTCTCCACCTCTCTCTCTCTCCTCCCTCTGCGTCCTCTTCCTGCCGCTGCAGCCCAACTCTGGACTGAGTCGTTGGGCTCTGGGAAAAGAGAAGCCTTTCAGCGTTAGCTTTTGTCACCCGGCTGATTTTTTTCTTAGAAATCTAATTCCTCTGGATATTTTGGGACGGGCGACTGTGGCACAATTACTCACCTAGCCGAATCTCAGGCCGGAGAGCGTATAGGTATGTCATCTTGGCCGAAAAAACAAAGTCATTTCTTCCTCTTTTGACCTTTTGAAGAAGCAAGAAGCTACAGCCAGCTCCTTCACATGTTCCTCAGGCCAGACGCCATCTGTGCCCGTGCATGTGTGCGCCGTAATGCCGGCTTTAGACACAGAAGTTGGTTTAAGAGGGCAAGTTTTGGCTCTGTTAAGGAATTAGATTGCAGATGAAGATTATTAGGCGGCCGCAGATCAGGGCAGCATGACCAGATTGATGGCAGATTGTTTTTGGTTGGCGGGATTAACAGTGATCTCTTTGGGTTTTGAGGTTTGCTCGTTTGCTCAGCAGATGGGTGGAGCATAAGCAGTTTGGACTAAAATGAAAGATCCGAGCTGTAGAGTTCTTAATCTGAGATCATCATGGGTTGTTGTACAAAAGTTCATACTGCGATTCTTCACACAGTGTTGTCAGCAAATGGCACTGAAGACGTTTGAGTCACACATGTTAAGGGGAACTGTGTCAGATGTACGTTAAGCCTCTTTATTTTTAGGTACTTGGCTTGCACATCATACACAGGAGTCGGTGTCATGTGGCTTTGACAGGGCTGATATGAATGCCAGACTGAAAAATCGTGCTCAAGTCCTCAGAGGTCACTGAAATGTTTTTGAAAATAATTATTGGGTTACTGCTGATTTTCCCAGGCCCTTCATGCTTGTGATGCTTGTATATCGAGGCGCTTTAGTGGTACCCGCTGTTTACTTTGCGGTGTTTATTTAGAGTGTATTTATACTTTATAGCTGTGGCTGAAGCCGGCTCTCATTCAGCGTCTGGCTTTTCTGTTTCAGGGATGCATCCCAAAGATGGCAGCCTGCACCTGGCTCTAAGGCGGCCATGCTGGTGAAGGTGAACAGCATGAGCCGTAGCCAGGCCAGCCCAGCCCCGCAGCAGCACCTCCAGCTCACCTCACACAGCAAAGCCGGCACCTTCACCCTGCTCCCCTCCGGCAGCAAACCACAAGGAGTCCACCTGAGCTCCAGCCAAGGGTATAAAACGGCGCCCCCGGGCAAAATGGCCGCCGACTCCCGCCAGGCTCACCATATAAGAAAAGCCAGCAACGGCAGCTTTTGCTTGGCGACGGCGGACAGCAGTCACCCCAGTCCGCTCCTCCACAGGTCACAGACCAGCACGCCACGTCCCATCTCCCCCCAGTACGGGTGCACCGCCCCCATTTACGACGAGCCCGTCACAGACTATCCCATATACGACGAGCCCCCCACAGATATGGAGGTGGAAGGGGCGCATCTTTCCAACGGACAGTCCCTATCCCGCTTGACCCCCACCCACAGTCTCCAGAAGCCTCGACACCTGCAGCACCCTGGCCCGCCTCATCCGTCCAGGCACACGAGGCATCCCTCGGCCTCCGACTACAGCCCAGCCGGTCTGGAGTGCATCAAGCACATGGTCAACGTGGACCCCAAACAGGGGTCCGGCTCCCCGGTGCCCACGCGCGCCCCTTCCCCCACCTGCAGGCAGGACCCTGTCTCGACCCAACCCCAGCCACACCCCCAGCTACAAGTTCACTCTCTGCAAATGTCTCGAGGCCACCTGAGGGAGCGGGAACCCGGAACCCAGGGCCCCAGCTCACTGGACAAAAAGCAAAACTGGCGGGTCCTCGAGGCCACGGTGCAACGCGCCATGGACGCACGGCACAGCCGGCAGAGCAGCCAGGCCTCGCAGGACTTTACCTCATCCACCCCGCAGGCCATGGCCAACTACCAGGACTCGGGTTACTCCACCGGCCCCTCTCCGAGTCTGAGAAGAAAGAGCCGGAGGAGAGTGGGAGCCGGTGGAGGCCGGCCGGGGTCGGTGGGCAGCAGCGGGGAGCTGTGTGCCCTCAATGAGCGGCTTATGGCAGAGATGAGGGAAGTGGTGAGTCGCTCGAACACCATGAGGGAAGTGAGAGCGGGGCTGGACCCAGAAATGGGGGAGCGGGCCGTCGTGCCGCGGACACGCTCCCCCGCAGACTCTCTCAGGTGGTATGGAGGAAGCGTCGGAGGATCAACAGGCAGGTGCCCGTCACGGGAAGACCTCACCGGGGCTCCCCGCTCCCTCAAGGGGACTGGTAACTATGGCAACCCCTCTCTGGCCCCTCTGGAGATACCGGGGAGGCAGAAAAGGACCTACGAAAAGGTGGACACCTTGGAGATGAGCATAAACAGCCAGGCCAGCCTGTCCTCGCCAGAGACCCCAGGACCACCCTCCCAGGTAACCCCCTGCTATAGTAGAAGTGTTGTCTGTGTGTGTGTGTGTGTGATGGGGGGGGGGGGGGGGGGGGGGCACACATACGCAAACAGAAATAAGTTGAAATAGTTGTCACAGTAGCTAACCCAATTATGTACTTTCCCGCCTGATTAAAGACTCAGACATGTCTGCGTCTATTTTGACCTCAGCAGGTTTACTTGTTTTCAACTTTCTTTGAGCGGCTAAGGCTCCGATTACTGAGAGATTGACTATCAGATTTGGAAAGAATTCAGTTTCACTGTCTAATGAGGCTGAGTCACGCTTGAATAAAGCATCTTTTTGTCGTGGGAATTTCAAGCGTTGGTTTTGTAATGTATCTCGCCCGCCGACGCAGAATGGACAGATTCTTCTGCTGAGCAGAAATGTCTCTTTATCCCCCCTTAATGGGACCAATTCGATTTATTTTTCAAACACAAATTCAGAGAACACAATGGATTTGATTTTCTCTTGCCGTTTCACGGAATCAAATGCGTGCATGAAGAGCGCTGTCAGTTAATTGATGTTATGGATTTTTCTTTATTTTTACTGAAGGGGCACATGATTGATGGAGAAAGAACTATGTGACTTCTTACATAAGTGACGGCGTGTGGAGCCAGTTCAGTTCAACGGTTAGATCTGCTTCGTGTAATCTGTAGATAACCTCCTGAATCAGAACTACGCCTCCTTACATAAATCTGTTTTCTATAGCCATTCAGCCGTGCCTCTACAAATGGAAATACTTCCTGTGACAGAGACTCTTTTTGTTATGATTTACATTCCAGTCTTGCATGTCCCAAAGCGACACGCGTCCATTTGATCATTCTCCGGTCAACCTTGGGGGCGTTGTAGGGATGGGAAAAGGCCTATGGCAGTTACAACATAGACGAATCTCAGAGTGAGACAGAGATTTTTCTGCTCAGATAGACCACCCAAATTGCTGGGTGCAGGCGAAATGGGGCACCTAAAGTGTGAGGCTGATCACATGAGAAGGAGGGCTGCTACTCCAGCCGGCTGCCTGTGTGAGCACGCAGGCATCGCTTCGTCATTTGAAGCACTGTGACGCACAAGTCGGAACCCTGTTTGTTTGATATGGAGTCATGTGTAGTTTATGCACCTCCACTATGGTTCATGCAAAACGGATTCTGTGAAGGCTTCTACACCAGTGCACTGCAAAAGTGAGGGGAAAGTGACCTGTACCTGGATTCTATAGCTCCAACGGATAAATGAAAGCATTAATGTTGCGTGTTTCTTGTCTTAAAAAGGGTGTAAGCGTTCCCGGGACATTAGACGGTAAGCAGGCTGAGCGCGGCTGACTAAAATGGCCACAGTCCCAGCAATGGCCGTCATCCTCTTACCTCCGTCCATCTGCCCCGCGCGGCAGGTGCTGTTTTGTCATACGCCAGCTCTGCGCTCAGATAGGGGAGAGCCATGCCAGCCCGGAGAGATTCAGGACATGGCATCCCACGGTCAGGAAGGAGGGCCGCTGAGGCCCATATCGCCCAGTCTTGGCAGGGCTGTAAGCAGGAGAAGGGGAGGCAGGCTGGTACCAAAGGCTTACTGGTACCAGGGTGGCTGTATGATGTTAGAAAACAGCCAAGGAGCACCGAGTGGGCCCCCTAAGTCTGTACTGGAATGTTCCACAGACCTGCTGTTATGTCACTCACACACACTCGGATTATGTTGTTTGTGCGCGTGTCTTTTTATATGTGGAATACTCTGTCCTTGCAGAAATATTACCAAACCACCATTTTCAACGGATGCAATGCATCTAAACTTTCTCTATTTCAAGGTCTCTGCCTCAGAGTCCACAGTGTGTCTACATTACCGCCACAGGCTGCATCTGTGAGCCGTCTTTCAAGAGGCTGACCTCTGTTAGCTGTTTGATTTAAAAAAAGGCACCCTGTCCGACCGAATACTCGCACTTCCAAACCTCCGGTTTGACGGTGATTGAGGAACAAAATCTGAAATCCAGTTTCTCTGGCAGCCATCACTCCACGTTATCCAGGGGCTCATTAGGAGGACATGTCGGTGCATTCTGTGTTCCATTAATAAACTGGAGCTTTGATTCTTGGCCTGCGTTTTGTGTTGTTCCTGGCTGTTCGCAGTACATATCTGGGTTACTGGCTGCCTCTGCTGAGGGAGCTGGGGAGCTCCTTAAAGTACATAAAGTCTACTGGTAGGATCACAAGGAGGTCTTGTGTGGAGCGTTGGCTTCACAGGGGGAGGGGGGGGGAGGCTGGTGCAGGGGTAAAGACTTTGGTGCCATTATGTACCTACTGACTGCTCAGACCAGGGTTCAGGGGGATTTAGGGAGATTTGTTTTTTTTCTCCTGTTACTTTTCTGGCATTAGGAAATTAATGTGCCGATCTCGCAACAGTTTCCCTGGAGTCCCCACACCGCAGAGCAGAGAATAGAAGCAGCAGCACAGTAAAAAACTGCAGCTCCACACACACACACACACACACACTTTGCACCGCCGCCGCTCTCCTCTGTAAACCCCCTACGTCCTCCCTCCATCCTTTTCCTCTCCTCTGTTTCATGGCCACTTTTTTTCCCCCTTTCCCCCCCCCCCGGCCCCACTGCAGGCGGGCACCCTAGAGCTGCAGGCTCAGTTGGAGAGCAGGAAGAAAGGCATGGTGGATGGCCGGACCGCTTCGCTGGGCCCTCACCGCCCCGCCAGCCACGAGAGTCGAGACGGGGGCGACGGGGCCGGAGGAAGAGCAGGGTCTGCCTACCAGCTCTCCTATGCCACCCTGCGGCAGCCCCCTCCCCCCGACATGGGCATGGAGGACTGGGCCAGCAAGCACCTCAACATGCACACGCAGGGGCTGTTCCGCCGCCGCGTTTCCATCGCCAACATGCTCTCCTGGAACCGCGGCTCCATCAAAAAGCCCATGCTGGTCACCAGCAACCGGGCCGTGCGCAAGGAGGCCTGCGAGATGTTCAAGCTGGTCCAGGCCTACATGGGGGACCGGCCCTCCCGGCTGGACCGGCGCCACAGCGCCCTGCTCCTCGTCACCAAGTGCTGGGACATGCCGGGCCTGCGGGACGAGCTGTACGTGCAGCTGGTCAGGCAGACCACGGGCAACGCCAGCCCCCGGAGCCTGGCGGCCGGGTGGGAGCTGATGGCCGTCAGCCTGGCCTTCTTTGCCCCCTCGCCCAAGTTCCGCTGCTACCTGGAGGGCTACATCCAGAGACACACAGAGCCCACCAGCGACAAGAAATGTGAGTCTGAGACTGAGCTACAGGGTGGGTCACCTTTCTTTCTTCTGCATCTCCCTGTCCTGTGTGATTGTCTGTGTTAGTGTTGACAGGATTGATCATTTTGTGTACAGCAGAGATGAGAATTTCTTCTTCTTTGCTCTGTTTTCCTGTCAAATAATTTGGTCTGTGATAATACTCCAGCAATGCGGCCTCTGGCACTGCCTGGCTACCAGGAATGTGACCGTATGCCATCTTTTGTTTCATAGTGACTCAGTTCATATTGGAGCAGCAGGAGCTCAAACTCAAGAAGAATTCAAAGTCCCGAAAGAAGCGGAAGCAGAACACAGAGGAGGAAGAAGGTACCTTTTTCCCTTTTTACTCACTGGCTTTCAAAATGACACCTTAAACCCAGAAACAATGGATCCCAGCAGCTCCCTATTCTGTCGGATGAAGTCCCACATGTGTTTTTCCACTCTCTTTGCAACTCTGTCAGTGGTCTCAAACACATCGCTCCCTGTGGAGCGACCACTGCGAGTGGGATGGAAAATTCAAGGCCGTGCAGTTTGTCAGATGAGTGCACGCTGATGCGTTACCACGCACTGTGAATGGGTTTCCCAGAGACCTGAGAAGGACAGAAAAAAAAAAAAAGTAGGATGAGAATTTCAGAACAATCTGCACGCGCACAAAGGGCCGCACTGTGACTCACCCTAGCTGCCGTGTGTCAGACTGCCATTTAGGAGAGTGGCCACGCATCAGCGTGGGCCTTCATTTGAGCAGACCACATAGCCAGCAGGGGCGATGATTTCACCGGCAGGAACCCAGTGGCCTCATGGCAGTCACCGCAGCAGCAGCCTCGCGCATTGTTCTCCGGTGACTCAGGATCAGTACTTTAGCTGAGTAAGAGGTCAAAGGGAAGCCCACTGGACATTTGGAAGGCAACAAGAAGGAGAGAGAAAAAAAAAAAAAAAACCTGTGCACAATGGCAGCTGCTGTTTGTTTGAGCGGACGGGGGAGCTGGAACATGTACTTTGTGTCTGACCAGAGCAACGTACAGCTGTGAGCAGCAGGAGTGGGAGGTGCACGGGGGGGGCTCCAGGCCTCAAGTCTGGCCAGGCCAGGGCTGGAAGTCGGGGATTAAAAAGAAGTTCTGTAGGCTTGGGACCTGCAGCGGGTCGATTTCAGTTCAGCCGTCTCTAAAAAAAATATTTAAAAAACCCTAGGGCGCGACAGAGGTTGTCTCCCTCGCATCATCCCGTTATAGCCGAGTGTTTTTGTTGTTCAGTTTGGCGTCGGTTCTTGTGCAGACAGGTGTCGTGGCGCTCTCAGACGGGTACGGTACACTCCAGCTCCTAATGAGCTCGCATTTCTCGCAGGCTTTGGTTGCTCGGCTGTTGCTGTTTTCATGGCTTCAAAACCGATGTAAATATAGACCTCCAGGAGCGTTCCAACCCGTCTTCCCGTTGCAGCTTTGGGGCCCTTGTTTTCCTTTTTTTCTGTTTTTTTTTTCTGTTTTGCTTTCCCAGTAAGTGTTTAGCTTCTATGTTGGGAACCTTGGGAGGGGAGAAGGAAAAAAAAAGGCCGTCGTTGGCAAGATCAAGGGCAAATTATTGGTATGATCTGTTTTAATTAGGTATAATTATAGTCAGACGTGGTCAGATTAGCAGCACTTGCAAACTTGCGCAGGAGTCACCTGTTTGCTATAAATCTGCGAACGTTTCGCTGTTGGGAACAAAGTGTTTGCTGCTTTAATAAATCCCGTCTGTAGCACCCTCCCCTTTGGCTCCGGCACAATTGCCTGACAGTAAAGATTCAGGGAGCAGGAATAGACCCCACAAGTGCGTAGAGTTTGGTTCGAGTTACGACGACAGCGAGAGACGGGAGCGATTGTGGTGACGGAGCCTCGGTGCTTTCCTTTGGCTCTCCGCTGGAGAATTCCTGGGGACTCTGTTTCCAGGACGGATCAGGTTGTTCTAGGCCTTGTGACTCTTGGAACATATATTCAGTGTCAGAAACAGGTTCTCCCCCCCCAATCAGACCTTGGCCTGCAGTTGCTGCTTGGAGCCAGAAGATGACGGGAAGCCTCTTTGCTCCAGTGCTCTCCAGAGGCCTCCCAGTTTTTCTGTGTGCTGACGAATCACCTGATCGCTGGATGTGCAGGCTGGATCCTGTCTCTCCCGCTTTTGTTCAAGGGCACTAAATCTTTCCTGCGCCTGACAGTTTAGCTGTGTAGGCTCTAATCCCCATATGCCAGAATCACATCATCAACATGTCCCTCCAGCTACCAATGCCCGCCTCTCGCTCGACATCTGTGGGAAATGAAAACACCGCCTGTGCTTTTCATGGGAAAGAATTCAAATCATTTATTATTTTGTGTGTTCTCTAATGTCTGATGATTAGAGGGGTTTACGTGGGGTCTTTGAGAATCCAACAAGGGTGTGGTTTTATTTAGTTTGGTTTCATCACCAGTAAATTTGCCCTTTTTCTTTCTTTTCTTTCTTTCTTTTTTCTTTCTCCTTCCAGGCCTTCCCATCAGCACGTATGCCAAGTTCTGCCACCGGAAGCTGCTCAAGGTGGCTATCACTGGAGGCAAAAAGGTGAGCGAGAGACAGGATAACAAAGCGGTGCGGGGAAAGAAATAGACGTTGATTTTTCTGGGGGCGAAAACGAGACACAAAAGTTGGGAAGCTAAGATTGTCGCCTGAGTCATCCTGCACGCAGCTCCAGAGGGAGACATAATTACAGGTGTGCCGAAAGAGTCACAGGTAGAGACGTAAACACGGGACCCTGTCATGGTAGTGCAGCTGCAGACGCCAGCCGCGATTGGTAACCTAATCCCCGACATACGCGGGTCATTAATCTTCCCTGGCTCACCCGTCCCCCCCCCCCCTCCCTCCAGGGTCTGCGCAAGCCCACCTTGGAGGAGATCGACCACAGCAGACGGGCCATCATCACCCCCTCCCTGTTCGGCAGCTCTCTGGAGGAGGTGATGGAGAGGCAGAGCGAGCTCTTCCCAGACAGGAAGCTACCCTGGGTGCAGGTCCAGCTGTCCCAGTATGTCCTGGCTCTGGGCGGGGCTCAGACGGAGGGCATCTTCAGGTAAGACCGACCCAGCCCAGCCGGGAAAACACGCCTGGACTCGAGCAGTGTGTCCAGGGTGCAGTTTGGAAAATTAGAGGGGGATCTCATGAAGTGCACGTGCATGTTCTTTATTGTATGTACAGCGAATGCATAAACAAATGTGTGTGTGTGTGTGTGTCTGTGTGGTCTCCAATATCCCTTCATTTCTGAGTAATCCACCCCTGTGTACAGTACACCAAACAGACAGAGCAAACACCCCCCCCCCCCGTTTAGCTGAACACTTTGTGATATGTGTTTACGTTCCTGCTTGGGCTTAGAAGCACGTGGGAGCCTCTGAGCCCAGTGTTTGTGTAGGGTTCACTCCAGCAGAATGAACTCTGCAGCATCTCCACTTGTTTAGAAAACCCTCCTTTTTCATCACCCTCACTATAAACGGATCCCCCTGTGAAAGCCCGTCCCTACACAGGGACTTTCCTGGAGAGTGGGCTGTTTGGTTATGTTACTCTGTTATGTTTCAATCTCAAGTGGAACCACAGCAAACAGAATGGAAAACTTTCAGCCGCTGGGTCACATCTATTCAACTGGTTGGGCTCCAGCAAGGAATTGTGAAACCAGGGCAGGGTGTTGGGTGGAGGCAGGGCTCCCTCTTGTGGCCGCCGATGGTAACTGTAACATTTGGTTTTAACCCCAGAGTACCTGGAGACATCGACGAAGTGAACGCACTGAAGCTCCAAGTGGACCAGTGGAGGATTCCAGAGAATCTGTCCGATCCCAACGTCCCCGGTGAGCGCCGCCTCATTTGTTCCCACGTTTGGTTGGACCGCACGCAAACATCTGAACATCTAAATGTCCTTCATTTGTAGCCTCGCTGATGAAGCTTTGGTACCGCGAGCTGGAGGAGCCCCTCATTCCCATGAACTTCTACACGCAGTGCGTTAGCAACTGCGACGACCCCGTGGCGGCCATCGCTGTGGTCCAGTCGCTGCCTGAGCTCAGCAGGCTGGTTCTGTGCTACTTCATCCACTTCCTGCAGGTAAGCGACAGCCGCCCCATCACCCTACTTTGGCCCGATCGGGGTCCTCGACAGGATTCCCATGACTTGTATTTTTTCGAGGTCAAAACGCTAAACTAAAATGGGAAAGGAAAAAACAACAACAAATTACCTATGTCGAACTGTCACGCCCCCCTCATTGTTCTCATATCCTCGCTTCCTCCAGGTATTCGCCCAGCCCTCCAACGTTGCCATAACCAAGATGGATGTGAACAACCTGGCCATGGTGATGGCTCCCAACTGCCTCCGGTGCCAGTCCGACGACCCGCGGATCATCTTCGAGAACACGCGCAAAGAGATGTCCTTCCTAAGAATGCTCATCGTTCACCTGGACACCAGTTTTGTCGAGGGGGTGGTGTAGTCGCAGAGCACCCAGATCAGTTGCTTTTTACAATCCTGCATAAACACTGTTTCTGTTTAGGCCACACTGGAAGTTGTTGGGTGAGATATTACGCCTCCTCCAACACGAGGAGTGTAAAAATAGCTTGGACTTTTTTCTTTTGTTTTTACTGAGAGATGAAGCATATCACCTTTTGGTTTGACTGTTTTTGATACTAAGATCTACAGTTGGCTGCCCTCAAGCTATACGTCCTTCCTAACGACTGCATGTGACTACAGGTGAAACCTCTTATTTCTTATGCAAGGGGTGTTACTACACAGACATTTGGGAGACGCCAGGTGAAGGTTTGGCGGACATATTCACCTGCACACACAAAAAAGAAAATCTAAGATTCATCAGTGTTGACATTTTCTCCAATGTCGTGATTATAGTGAGGTGTGTTTGTGTGTGTGATTGTCAGAGTGTGAACAAAGGACAGCCTTCCTGCAATATGTAAAGAAAATTAGAAGAAAAAAAAGAAAGTAAAATAATTATTTTAATTGTGACTTTATTAATAAACTTGCCTGCGTTGTCTTGAGTAAATTGTACTGATGACTGGTTTGCTCATATTTCACGTTACGAGACCTGACAACTACAGAGAGTATGCTCTCTAAGCACAAGCTGGGAGGATTTACTGAATCCCCCCCCAGCTTGTGCCCGTGTTGACGGACGATGCTCATTTTTCTCAAGCAAATAAACAAGGGCGTGCTTTGACTTTTCCAAATTTAAACACTGAAGTCAGACGGAAGTGTTGATTCTGATTACAGTTTGTGCTGTAGTGACGTGTGAGGCTTTCTAGTCAACCTATCATTTCTTAATTATTGGTAAGCAATATTTCCTTTCAGTTGGAGTTGTGTTCTCTTTTGATGGTGGTCTTTATGTCCTGTTTTGTGTCTCAGGTTTTCTGATAAAACGGGTGTTGGATGTAATAACTGTACACGACGTCTGTCTGATGAATATTTCATTACTCGATGGCAAACCCCTGTAGTGAGAACGCCGCGTTGTCCAACTGTCCAGCTGTATGAGGCTGTAAATTTAGCTTTTTGTGTCACGTCTCAGGCTATGCTGTTGTAAATAGATAATATGTATAAAATAGTACTAACTTTCTTCAATTGTAATCTAATGATCCAGGTTATGGGGGAATTTAAACAATTGCTGTAATTAAACATTAAGGTTTTTCTTTTGTAATAAAACGTTTCTGCTGTAACCGCTTGCCTTTTGAACATAGGAATGATTGAAACCACTTTCCACATACCTGCGCGTATGTGTTTGCTAACCGTCTTGTCATAAAATGGAATGGCTGTCCATGAATAAAGATTTCTTCCATTGTTTACTGTCTGAATCTCTTTGTAATGTGAAAACAACACAAAAATAAAGCCGTTCTTAAGTTGCACATCAAATAGAAATTAACTTATGCAGCAGTTAAGTGGTCAGAAATGTGTGCGTTGTCATTTTATAAGGATAAAATGACCTTATTTTAAACTTAACTTTAACCTATAGCCTTATACAGAATGTCTCCCCTTATGACCCAGAACACTTTTAATTACCCTACCTACTTTAAAAATAAAAGGATCAATCTTGAGTGGGCTTCTATGTTCTCTGTAGATTGTGTAGTAGTTCTGTCTTACTGCTTGCACTGGATGCTCAAACATTTGCTTCATAAGTCATGCCTGGTAAATATTTCTCACAACCACGACAATTATCTGCCTGCTTTCTATACCATTTTTTGATATTTTATTATTGGAGGAAACGCATCACGTAGATTTATCTACTTTAACAAATTAAGGTTTTTGTGATTTTTTCCCCATAGATGGATGTTGAATAAAATGTATAAATTCGACATTATAAAGCAACACGCGGCATTCCCACTAATCAAGGCTCTTAAGTATACTAGGGTTTAGGGGCCGTTGACGGCGCATGCGCACTTTTGCGCTCCACTGCCCGCGCCGGCGGTGAATGCAACAGAGAAATTCAACTGCGTGGTCCGGAGCAGACAGGCGGAGGCGGCAGTCCCTGCGCCTTAAAGGATTACACTGCACATTTTACATCAAACCTGACGAAGAGAGACTGGAGAACCGGTAGGACACTTAACCGTAACTAAAAGTTGTGTTTCAAAGCGTACAACATCGCGACTGAGGCCCGGTTGGCGTCTGCATCTACAGCTGAGACAGTGTGATGCCGCATGTCGGCTTCGCGAGTTCAAAACAAACGTGACGAACTAGGAAACGGAATAGCCTCTTGTTACATTTTATGCTTTCTTTCCCCGGCTGGTGTCGTGCCTTTTGCTGCCCAGTTACGTTTCCAGTGGGTTGCCCGACTTATCTTTGAAGGTTCCTAGTTGGCTAAGTTTAACGCTTTGCATTTCCACACCACTCTTTCGTAGCATGAAAAGTACGTATAAGTAGGCCTAGCGCGAGGCCATGGAGGGTCCTGTGATTGACAGCTTGACTGCCAATCAAATTGTAGCACCCGCCCACACCACCATGGTTCGGCGAATCAGGTTTGAGTAAACCTCTGACGTTGTACCGAGTTTCTCGCGCTACGCCCTCTGGTTATAAAACGCTGGACAATAAAGTGAGGATAGCGGTTAATCAACAATGGGTTACTTTGATAACTAAGGGGCAATGTGTTCACGTTGTATTTCTTTAGTCGGAAAAGGGTTGGGACCCTTTAGCTTTATTCAGGAGGCGAGGAACAATTGCGCGTTAGTCTGCTTTCTGTTCTTCCGAGTAAAATATTAACCAGTAAAACGGTATTAGTTTTTAAAAAAATAGGCCCTGTTGTAATTGTGAACACAGTTCATGAACGTCTAATTAGGAATTAAGACGGTTTCCTTGAATTATAGCGCCATTAAACCGGTTATTGCCCTACTACTGTGACATGTCTGGTTCGCTGCAGGCAAAAAAAAAAATCGGTTTAATGTAATGTAAAGGCATTTTATTGTTCAGAGTATTGTTTGCGTTTTGGTGCCATGCCCGGAATTGTACATACAACCTACTACGGTCTGGTAACGGTCTTTTCCATTGTCTCCCATTGTGTCTATTCGTGAAATCGGCTGACCAGAAAACACGTGGGCCGAGTAGTGTGAAGATATCCGGTTTGTAGGGCTGCACAGAATTATTCCCGACAGCATCCGTTATGGCGAACCGCGTCCGTCTGCTAAATCCTGGACGAAAGTAAGAACAGCGAGCTGTATTTTGTCGATCTTTGATAATCTTTTAAAAGACACTGATATGTCAATTTTGTCCTTTCTGCTGTACGTCCTAATGTGCATGATGGGGCTGGGAAAGGGAGCGATTTTACCGAGGGAGGGAGTAGTGCATTTCGTTTTTTCTCTTTTTGAACGACTCAATGACCCCATTCCATCTAAAAGCCTTTGTAATAGCTGGACGGCTTAATCTGAAACGCATAGGCATATTTAAAGAGTGTGGAGAAGCCCAGGTTTAGCAGAAAACCTCGTTAAATGACTACAGCATTAGCTTGGTGCATAATTGCCTCCTAGTGGGAGCTCACAGATGGAACAGTGTAGCTTTCTCCTTCTTGTGCCTTCTCAGGAAGTGCCCTCTTATTCATATTCTGGCCTTGCATATGGATTGTTTGGGCTATTCTTGGACGCTTATGCTTCCCCAACTAGTAGTTGTTCTACATCTGCTATCAGCTACATATCACCACCATTGGAGGGGCATGGCTCACCTTAAAAAAAAAATTCCACTCTGTGCTGCACCATGCCACCACATGTGTTATCTGTGGGTTGTGTGTGTTTACAGTGGAAAAAACCAAAATCGCAGCCTGGACAGCATTATTGTTCTGCTGGTATAAAGGGGGTGTCTTACCTGGTTTTCAGTGCCAAACCTGCAACTCGCCTTCACAGCTCTGAATCTGTAGAATGACTTAAGAGGGACTTGGCAGATTATTAGTATCGTCTGTGAAAACCTAGACTTTTATAATTTGTTGTGATCTTTGAGAGTCACAGTGTGTCTCTCAGTAGCATAACCAAGGTCACACTGGCCTACTTTTGAGCTAATAGTATGCCTATTAGTAAATGTGTGTTTGCATATGTGTGTACAGGAAGAGAGCCTTGATGTGGGCAGTATGAGTAAGGCGCCCCCTAACAGAAGAGGGATAACATTTGAGGTGGGAGCTCAGCTCGAGGCTAGAGACAGCCTCAAAAACTGGTGAGTCATGGCCTCGCTCATTCCTCTCCGTTCACGTTATGTTTCACTTCCTTCATTTTCCCACACGAGTTTTCATCATCTCCTCCTCCTCTCGGGGCCTTGGTTATCTGTAGTTAGAAGACTGTAAAGCCTTGTAGGCCTTTCACTACTGTGAGTAAACAATGCTAGAGTGTTTGCTATTAAATCTACACCTCGACGTCAATTAATGCATAGGCATTGCAAAGGTTGTGACTTATAGAGCATATTGATAATCATTGCTGTGCTTTAACTGTTTTAAGAGAAGTCTGTTTTTGTTTTTAATTAGGTGATTTGCTGTGACGAGCACAGCGTTTGGAGGCTTTTCATTTTATTGAAGAGGTTGTATCTTAAATTTGGCACTTGAGGTGTAATTGGGGAGAAAGAGTTATCACATTGCAGTTTGGGGTTAAAGGCACACAACCCTTTAAGTACAACTCTGTCTGATTCTTTGTTGCTGTTTAACATGTTTGCATCTTAAAGCTCACTTTATCTCTAAAGATTTGGCACTTACAATTTACGATTGAGGTACACAATAAGGAATATGTGCTTGTCTCCCTTCCAAATTCTGCCTTTTGAATTTCCTCATTTAGGTATGCTGCCAACATAGAGAAGATTGACTACGAAGATGAAAAAGTGCTGATCCATTATCGGCAGTGGAGCCACCGTTACGACGAGTGGTTTGACTGGACAAGTCCGTACCTGAGACCCGTGGAGAGAATAAAGCTGAGGAAGCAGGGCCTGCAGGACGGCGCTTCTGGATCGGTAAGCAGAGAATGCTTTGGGTCTCGTTTTGGGTCTCCAATGGAAACCAGAAGTTCCGTCGCTCACCTCTCAGCTTTCTGGGGCAGCTGTAATACGATGCCTGTGTTTAATTTCCATTGGCCAGATGATCTGCTGCTTTTATTTGTAATTAGAATGTCAGTACCGTTATTTTTACTGAAGCTAAAGCTTTGCTTTAAAGAGCCGCACCTCATACATTTCAATGTTTCATTCCGTCAGGGCTTTCACGTGAACGACAAGGTTCTGGCCAGCTGGTCTGACTGCCGTTTCTACCCCGCTACGGTCATATCCGTTAATAAAGATGGTAGGTACCAAAAACCAGGAGTTTGGTATAGGCATATGTATTACTAAGCAGACTGTCATAAAATGTTTGTGTATGGTTCTATGAAATTCTGACATTCAATCACATTGATATAAAGTTATTTATTTCAAAACTGGAAACTGGTTTTGAAAGTTTCTCCAGTTATGACGGAGTGCTTTGTCTTTATTATAAAATATTGGCCTGTGAGATGTTTCAAAGAATATAAAAAATAATTTAAAGCTTGTGTGACTATTTGACAACAATTAATGTGACCGACAATCACATAAGGCCTTATTTTTTAAAAGAATGTTCTGTGCTTTGGTCTGTAGCGTCCTACACTGTGAAGTTCTATGATGGTGTCATCCAAACAGTGAAAGGGATACATGTGAAGCCTTTTATCAAACAGGTAAATGTCACTTAATGACCAGTATCAGCTGTCATCTTTGTTGTCTTTGGCCACTTTCAGCCTCTTCTGTTTTTTACTCGTGCTATTTATCATACTGACAGAGACGTGGTGCCCGAGGGAAGTCAAGGTCCTCTGACGGAAACATGGTCAGGAGGGTCCAGAACCGCCGAGACAGGAGGCCTCAGGAGAACGGAGGTCCCAAAAACAAGCGAGCCAGACGCAGCACTTCAGACCAGGAGGACAGCAACAGTGAAGATGAGGAGAGGGAAGAAAGGATGGTAAATCAGAAAAACAAGAAAATAAACGGCGAGCTCGAGGCTGCAAAAACTATCAAACGGGAAGAGGAGACTCCAGATCACGCAGAACAGAACAAGTCCCGGGATACAGAAAGGGGCACAGGACTCACGAATGGAGTGAAGGTTGAGAACGACCACACTCTGGATGAGGGAACGTGCCATTTAAATGGGGACGTGAAGAAGGAAGAGATGGACATGGAACAGAGTGAGACTAAGCCATGCACAAAGTCATCCAAGCCATATATAGAGATGCCCACTGAGACGTCAATGCAAGCAGATCAGGTGTCTGTCACTACGACAACCACCGAATCCAAGGGAGATGTGGAGCAGAAACCAAACGTCCAATCGGAGAGTGCTCAGCCGGCAGCAGACGCGCCCCCTCCCCAGCCTGTGAAACGTAAGCGGTAACAGTCAATTGGCTGACAGGCAGCAGGATATTAATGGAAATGAATCATTGAGCAAAGTCAATACTGGGTGTATGTAGCCACATTTTCAAGCTTAAAGGTGCCTTTTTTCTTCTAGCGGTAAGGAAGCAGGGCTTCCACAACCCTAACAGGTTCAGCAGAGAGCCATGTGAGTATATGGAAGAAGTCACCAATGGCATTGTTTCATGTCCTTATTTACAGCTCACACTTTTGCTGTGACTCCTTTTTAGTGTACCGTGTCATCAAAAACCAGCCCCCTCCGGTCCTGTCCATCAACCTGGACCACAACCCGTTCAAGTGCAGCGCTGCAGGGTGCACCAAGTCATTCCGTAAAGCCAAACTCCTGCATTACCATATGAAATACTATCACGGTGAGGAGCCGCCTCCAGAGGGGGAGAGCAGCCCCAGCAGGAGTGTGCAGACCCGGGCGTCTGAGAAGCAAACCACTGCTGCTGCTCTGGATGGCTCCAAGAGAAGGCGCACCATCTCTGCCTCTATGCGTGAGTTCCACTGCATTTCCTGCCACCTTTCTATGAACCTCAGTCAGTGTGAACTCCTGTGGAACTGAAACTAAATGGTGGTTACACAAATTTCAAATCATGAGTGGTGGCCTGCTCTGTCGGTGCTTTTCCACGCTCGTTTTAAGGTCAGCTCCTTAGGATATTCCTGCCCTTGTGTCTGTCTCAGACTCGGCGGGCGCTGCTCCTCGTGGTGATGTGAAAACTGCAGGCAGGCGGACGTCAGCCCCACCCTCAGTGGGCGCACCAGGCCACCAGCAGAGGGCGCTGCTGAGGGAGAAGAGCAAAGAGAACCAGCTGGACCGGAATGGATGCCAGCTGCAGGACAGGGATTCAGACAGGGGGGGCTTTGACATGGGTCAGTGTTCTGCTGAGAAAAGGTGTTTTTTTTATTTTTAATGTAAATTTTGTAATCAGATGTGGCTCAACTCTGCTCACTTACTGATCTCTAGGGTCTATAAAGGAAAAACCAAAAGAGAAACCTAAACAGAAGGACTTTCTTCGCATTAAACTAAAGAAGAAGAAGAAGAAAAAGAAGGCAAAGTCTGGTAAGAAGCAGGTCCCTGGCACAGGGGGGGCTCTCTGCTGCTCTGCATGTGCTCTTGCTGTAATGTAAGAACGACAAGCTTACAAAGCATAAAGCACTCCATTCACTCCTTTTTTGGTGTGGTGACTGAGCTTCTGTGTGTGGAAGACTTGGCGTAATATTTCTTGCTGGTCTAAACGTCAATAGGCCAAACAGTAAGCTCCAAGTAATTTCTTAGGCGTGTTGGGATTTCTATGGGGGTATTGGTAATGACCGGCTCTCCTCGTGGTGCAGATACTGCCCGATCCAAACACTGACCCCTCACTGCCCTGTTGGCAAGCACGCTCTGAAGTACGTACGAGCTGCCTCCTTCTGACCGATAACTTCACACAGTTTAGATCCCAGAAATGTGGGCCGTATAAAAACAACTTAAAAAAAAAAAAAGAATCTATTGTCCCTGGTTGTTCTGGAGTACACAGTGCATGTTGTGCCACTTTGTTGTGTCACCTCCTGGTGGGCATTTGTTTAGCATTTCCAAAGCTGACGTTTTTGTTCTACATCTGCTCCCCCCTCCCCCCTCCTTCCCTTTATTACCAGACTACACAGGTAGTGAGGAGAACATTGACATCTCAGTATTGGGTCTTCACTCCAAATTGAATTTGCCACTCAAATCCCCCCTTTCACACAATCACAAGCCTGAGGCCTACCCCGGCAGGCCCGGATACAGCTGCACAGAGCAGATTCATGTGGATGGTGGGTATCTCCTTGGTGGTGTGAGTGACTCCAGCTTGTGTGTGTTTCTGGCCTCCTCTCCTTCCATCATTCTCTCCCCCTTTGGATTCAATCCACCACGCGGCTCACTATTGTGCAGCTTGAAACCGCCTGCGTGCGATCTCGCTGGTCACAAAGCGGGCCCGTATTTCTAAACGGTGGTGGATTGAATGCTGAGCTGCTCTTTGCTGTAACGGCTTGCTTCTTCCCGCAACTAACCACAACTCATTAAGGCCGATCTTTAGCTGAAGCTTGACACTGAAGCCCAATGACCGCCCGTCCGTGTCCCTGCAGACGAGGACAGCATCAGCGACTGGTCCACCGACAGCTGTGGCTGGAGCGATGACGACTTTGACATGGACCTGGACGTCACCACTCCGCCTCTCAGCGTCGACTCCGGTGCTGTTGACACCAGCGACCAGGAGATAGTGAGATGCATCTGTGAGGTGGAAGAAGAGAACGACTTCATGATTCAGGTGAGAGGGGTCTGACGTGCTTTTCAGCTGGGTTGTGTTATAAGCTGATCCGCTAACATTTGTGTTCTTCTGCTAGTGTGAGGACTGTCTATGCTGGCAGCACGGGACCTGCATGGGTCTGCTGGAGGACAATGTTCCAGACAGATACACCTGCTACATCTGCAGGGACCCGCCAGGTGACGGCAAGCTTAATGACTAGCTAAAAATAACTTGACTTCTATTCGCTGGCGTAAAAACACTCGCCGATCTGAATCGAAGTCTAAGTGACAACAAGTTAAACAAGGTGTAGTGTGATGATGCTGTTTTTACACTTCAGTGTGCTCTATCTCACTGGATTATATGGCACAAGTCTAACCTTTTCAGCCGCGTTGGCCTTGATACTTGACATATTCGTTTAGCTATACCGCTCTTCGTGGCATACATCATTTGGTAGATGATGTTACTTTAACTCCAACATCAGAGCTGAATTGCTGCTGGATAAAATGAGCTGGGTGGACTGTGCCCTGAACTCACAACTTGCTGGCCATTGTTTGCCAGCATTAATAAGAACCAAGAGGTCCTGGATTGGGACATCTGCTTTAATATCCCTAAATACTAAATGATAGCATTAAAAAAAACAACAAAAAAACAAGCGTCAATGATACACACCATTTCATTATCAGTGTTCTTTGTGCTCTAGCTTTCAACTTTTCCAGATACCATCATGAAATGTCAGGGCTGCAGAGCTTATCTAACAGAGAGAACAGAGGAATAAGTGCACTGTGCTGTTTTAGTCAGCTCAACCTTTTACCTACGGCCACCCCGCGGCCTAATGTTCTTATGTCCAGAGTATTTTAAGCAGACATCGTTCACAACCTTTGCAGCGGACACAGTTGTCCTACTGAGGGGCTAATGTGACAGATCTACACAACTCTACAACAGGTCCCTTTCTGCCCCCCGTAGGCCAGCGGCAGAGCCTGCGATATTGGTATGACCGGGAGTGGTTGAGCAACGGCCACATGTACGGCCTCTCCTTCCTGGAGGAGAACTACTCGCACCAAAACGCCAAGAAGATCACCACCACCCACCAGCTGCTGGGAGACGTGCACCACGTGGTGGAGATCCTCAACGGCCTGCAGCTGAAGATGAGCGTGTTGAAGTGAGAGCCGCCGGCCGAGAGCCCCCACTCCTGCCCGCCCCCCCCCCAGCACACGGCCTCCCAACCGCCTCCTCTCTCTCTGCCCTCTCCTCAGGAGCAGCACCCACCCGGACCTGCAGCTGTGGCGGCAGCCCTGGAAGCACCTGGAGAGGGCGCGCCTGGGCTCGGACTCGTGCCGCGGCAGCAACGCGGCGCCCTCCCCCGCCAGCCCCGAGGAGGACATGAGCCGCGGGGAGATCCTGATGTCCAACGCCCTGGAGAAGCTCAGCCGGGCCGCCACGGCCGCCAGCTCCGCCCCCTCCTCCTCCTCCTTCCCCTTCCCGTCCTTCCAGGACTCGTACATCACCAGCGAGCACTGCTACCAGAAGCCGCGGGCGTACTACCCCGCCGTGGAGCAGCGGCTGGTGGTGGAGACGCGGCAGGGCTCGGAGCTGGAGGACAGCATGCGGAGCACCGAGGAGCTGCTGGAGCGGGAGCAGCGCTACGGCAGCCTGCTGGACGTGGACAAACCAAAGGCAGCGGGGATCAGCCACAAGGCTAGTGCACTCACCGGAGTCCTGGATGTAGATTTTAGCTTTTATTTCTAAGCTGTTTAATCATACAGAGATTTAGCCCGGCTCTCTTTTGAGCACCAGTGTGCTTGTAGCCGTCTCATGTGCTAAGACAGAGTGTATTAAAGCATTTGGACTATAGTGTACATACATACGTCTATAACCTAAATGTCTATGAATGCCAGGCTTCCATAGGCGTTTCGTGGTCGCAGGCTGAAAACAGGGAGGACGGCGCCAAGGACCTTGGAGACAGTGGAGATCGAGGGCAGCATCAGCAGTGGCAGATCAACCTGCTGGATCACATCGACGCGGTCCAGGACGAGGTCTCGCACAGGATGGACTTCATCGAAAGGGAGTTAGACGGTAAGAAAAAAAGTGAAGCTTTAAAAAAGAGCTCCTCGCGCTCACTCATGTCCTCACCCCCGGTCTTTTTATCTGTCCCCCTCAGTCCTGGAGAGCTGGCTGGACTACACGGGGGAGCTGGAGCCTCCGGAGCCCCTGGCACGTCTGCCTCAGCTCAAGCACCGCATGAAGCGGCTGCTGACCCAGCTGGGCAAGGTGCAGCAGATCGCCCTGTACAGCTCCACGTGAGGGCGCCAGAGATCAGCCCCGGCTCCGGCCCCACTCTGCTGGCAGGAAGCACAGCGCAGGAGGCTCTCAGGTCTCTGGTGGCAGGGATAACTATATTAATTCAAGCCCCTGACTTAGACGGTTCAGCACATTCTGTCTCCGACCCCGCCTCTGCTTCAGTTGAAAAGGTTGTGTGTTGAAATCCAGTGCCACAGCCAGCCAGCGTCGTCTGTGAACACGAATGGGAAGCCAGCATCGCAAATCAGGATTAAACGCAAAAAGTAACCTCGTAAATGCAGGAGAAAATCCTGAGGACCAGACTACACTTAATGTGGCTCTTGTGTAACTAAATCCTCTGAATGCCTTCTGTCCGAGCTTAAGGTTGCCGTGTCTTTCTCAGTCCACAGTGCTTTACACGAAGAAGCTTGATATTCAAACTGCAGTCGAATACCTGAACCGACACTCTTTGCAATAGCGTTTTGAACACATTTTACAACGCTCATGGTTTTCTTTTTTGCATACTATGTGTCAAAGTTCAGTTTGGGCCATCTGTCCTGCCATGTTGTGTTGAAATTCTTGCTGTATGTAGACAGACGGTAACTTGAAGTCCATACAGGAAATCCTCTTCGACCTACTCCAGGGTTCATTTCTAATTTCACTGTGAAGTTATTTTGTGTGGCATCAAAGATGGGTTCTGTTTTTTTTTTTTTTTTTTCTAAGCTAAAATTATTCTTTCCCACAGTCTGTTCATCAGTGCCCCCGCTTTCTCACTTTTGGTGTCTGTGTCTCTTCCTTTGATTTACTTTTGTGTTGTTCCCGTAGCATTTGAGATTTGATTTGGTGAAAACTGTATTGTGGATTATTCTTACCTTAGCAACTTGTGTCAGTATAAAATCGTACATAGAACACCTGTAAAATTATTTTTTTCCTTACCAAGTTTTGTTTATCTACTGTATCTTTGGTTGTTTATAAAATCATTCAAAAATGTGTTCTTAATTGACAATGTACTCCAAATACAAATGTATGCTACTGTACTGTAAGTGTCTGTCTTAGAAGCAGGGAAAATGTCCAAGACAATGCAAACAGATTTCCTGGTACATAAATAAACTATATTATTGTTATTAATCACCATCACCAGCTCTCCTGGGATTTTCTCTTTGCGTGTCTTACGTTCTTTAACATTACAGCCTTTGATTTAGCATTCTGGTTCTGATGGAGTTTCTCCAAAGCTGATTTGGCTCCCTATTCTTATATCTGACAACACACTTTGGGCAATGTTTTCTAGTTGGAGGATGAAGGGAGAATGGTGGAAGAGCATCATGTAACACCATTAGAACAAGAGAAAGTGTTGTCAGTCATCTCTAAAATTAGTAGAGGATTCTGTATCCTACACGAGGAACATGTGCAACCCAAATGATAAACGCTCTTAGATTACAAACTACAAGTGAAAAAAGATCATACTTTAAATACCTTTTTCTGATAACGTCACGGTCTTGTGCAAGCCCGATTTTCTAGAAAAACCGCTCCGGTTCATGGAAAACAATCAGTTGAGAACGCTACATTCACAATGTAGAAACAAACTATCGGTCTACGTGAGTACACCGTGGTTTACAGTCCATTGTTGAAATATCAGAGAGTTGTAGTTTTTTTTTTTCCCGAGCCGTGTGAGACCTCCTGTCTGCTCCTATCTGTGGGTTGTACCGCCTCCTCCCATTGGCTGCTCCGACGGTGCCTCCGCCGCAGCGTGTAGTTCCGCCCCGCGCCACACAGATATACAGGCTGACGTAGAGGAAGCGGCCGGTCGGAGCTGTGTACGTTTTTAGAGTCTCCCACTCCCCATTTAACCGTTCCTATTAAGCCATTCTCCCGGAAGGAATTGACCGAAACGCGCCCGGACGCTTCTTTAACCGAAGAGGTGAGTGGTGCGTCCGTGTTTTCCGCCCCTAGCATCTCCCGTTTGCCCACTTACAGATGTGCCCGCCGCCACAGGAGATTATCTCAGCCCGCTGGAACCCCCCAACCTGTTCGTGTGTCGGTCTGTATGCCCCCGGTTTTCCTCCTCCTCTTCTTCTTCTTTTCTTATTTAAACTAATGGCTGGCGGTAAGGAAGCGGCAAAGTTCCACCGAGAGCCACATGTGATACGCCAGGGGAGAACGAAGCGATTCAGTTTTTCGAAAAAAAAAACTGCGGCTCAGTTGAATTGAGTTCACCCGCTGCTGCTCTCGCCGGAGATGCGACATAATGCCCGCGTTTCCACGCAAGCTTATTTCCACGGTGTTTGCCAGAGAAAGGGGAAAAAAACACAAAAACGTTGCTGTTTTCTTCGTTGTGCCCGGTTCCGTGTGTAAGGTGGAAGGCAAGTTGTTGAGGGGGGGCATAATATAACGAGGCCTGTCACGATGCGTTACATAGGAAGTAACCGACGTCAAACAACTATGAAGACTGGAGCCTAATGTCAGGGACATTTTTAATTAAAGCCGTTTTTTCTTCTGTCACTTCCTTAAAAAAAGCAACATATTCAGTAAAAAAAAAAGAAGAAAAAACCCTGTCGTAGGCTGTTAATACAATAATTCCATTTGCAGTTGTGGTTTATTTATTAATCGGCTTCAGTGCGATTTTTCTGGAAGTGTTTTCATTCAGTCTCTATCCGGACAGAGGGACGCAAGTTTGAAAAAAAAAAAAAAAAGACTGTGTGTCCTCTGTCTGGTATTTAATCTCTCCAGTTGTCACCACAGTGGCTGGCAGTTCTCCTGCTCCTTAACCAGATGACCTGTCAGGTGTCCTGTCCAGGGGGGGCCAGCCCTGATCCCTGGGCCGGTTGGGACCTGGTAGGGGACACCTGGACGTTTGACCGGTGTCTGCCTCCACACCGGCCACCGTGCCGGACAGTGTCAGCGGCCGGAATGCGAAGGTCACCCATGTGGCTCACTGTGGGGGAAAAAAAAGAGTAGACCCAGCTTCAGAGCCCCCCCTCGGATCCACCTTTGGGCCCGTTTAAAACTGTAGAACCACCGTTGGCAATGGTGGGGACGGTTAGTATAATTTGACTTATGGTGGATTGAATAAGACAGGCACCAGAAGGTCACCGCGACCTTTGTGTGGTGAATTCATCGTGGCTGATATGAGTTGGCTCTGTTTAACCCCCCCCCCCCCCCCCCCCACCCCCACCCGTCTCCCACAATGCCCCTCTCTGACCGCCACCTGGTCGGTCGGGCCTCCAACTTACACACAACGAGCCAGCCAACCGGATTTGTGTTGTCACTCACAACACTGGCGCCCAGGACCGTTGGTCCAACCTGAACGGCCAGGGGGGATGGGGGGGGGGACAGCAGAGGGTGTGTTTTGTAAGCTGATCTGAGGATGAGGGTCTCAGGAGGGGGGAGAGAAGCTGCTTTATTGCTGTGTGGTGGAAGGCTGCTGGTTGATCATTACTATGAAAGCTCCACCGGTGGGAGTGTCAGAGGTTGTTTATTAATCCACACCTTGTCCATAACACAAAAGGGGGGTCTGTGGAAAACCTTTCCAGTGCTCCTCTTGAGAACCAAACACACTGAAATAGTCACTGGCGTGAATCAGATTTTGAAATGTATTTATTTTTTGCGTCCACACTGCAAAGCGTGAATTGGAATGTCCCCGGCTGAGTGGGCAGGTAAGCAGCACAGTTCAGCACTCGAGATGGGGAGTGAATGACACGAAATCACTTTAGTACGTCTGCACTGAAGTAGTGGCACCATCAAAGTGACTCTCAGCCGGGATTACAATGCATTACAGGGATTACCGGGCACCTTAAAAAGTGGGAAACGCTCTTGTGCAGAGGAGGATTTCTCGCGGCGGCGGTGGGGATGAATGTCAGGGGCCATCGCTCACAGGAGGGAGGGAGACGGTAATTAAGCCGGCGTGCTGACGGTGGGCCTCCCTGGTTTTTAACCTGCGCAGCAGCTTTGCTCTGCTGTGGTCAGTCGGCGCCACAGGGCAGAAAAAAACAACCCCTGCTGGCCCGGGATGTTTACAGGATTCAAACCCGAAAGCACCCATGAGAAGCAGGACCTGGACCGGTCAGTTTTCCAGCCCCCTTTTGTGGGTTCCAGGTCTTAATGATCCAGGTGAACCGGATCCCCCCCCCAGCCGGCCCAGAGGATGATGTAAAAAAACACTGCTCTGCCCCGACTCTCCCCCTCTTGTGCCTGGAACTGGACAGCGTCTGTAACTGAAGCCGCACCAAACAGAAAAACAGCTGATGCACCTCCTGACCGGCGCGGCCGGGCAGGACTTCTTGGACATCCGTTGGCCTGAGCGGCGCCGTCATTTCAGACAGTTTCAAATTTCTAGCCGCCTCATCTACTTTTTAATTAGCTTTTCTGTTAGGTATGATGTAATGGATGATTCCGTTTTTTTTCTCTCTGGCTATGTGGTGGGGAGGGGGGTTGTTTGTGGCTCGGGCTGTCTTGTTAGGCCCGAATTTCCCAACGTCCTGGTCGGCGGGGTTTCACACTCCTGCTGGAGCAGGGCTCTCTCTGCCTCACCGGTACCGGCCACAGGTAGGGGGGGGGGCGAGGGGAGGAGGGACACAGGTGCCTAGCTTGTTGATCCCCGAAGGTTTGGACGCGTGCCGAGCTGCCTGTCCGGATCCTCTCTGGAGTCTGTCCTCCGGTATTATCACACGTTTCCCTCACCGCTCCCCACAACACCGGTCAGAGCGTCAGCACAAACCGGAGGTCTCTGGTCCGTTTGTGTTAGATTCCCCCCCCCCGTGTGAGGCGGTGCGACCCAGACAGAGTCTCTGGAGGTGTGTGAGCGTGAGAGGTGGAGGTCTGACACCTGTGTGCTGTTTCTGTTTGTGGGTAGGTGATTGGTTTTCCACTCCCGGGTGGTTTGTTTTTGTTTACTGATTGGTTTTGGCTGCAGTTTCCAGCCTGCTGCTGCTGTCGTCGCGTAAAGATGAGGGGAAGGACGACTTTATGGAAATGATATCAAACATAAAGGTCATTCAATTTCAGTGGCATCACCAACCGAGCTGCGCATGGTTACTGGAGGGGGGGGGGGGTTGCCAAGGACACGGCCGACCTCCGCGGCAAGCGTTTGTGATGAGAATCCGGCGGAGGAGCCTCCCCAGTGTGTTTCTCCTGGAGATGGGATTGTCAGTGATCGGTCACTATGACGGCCGAACTGATCACACGGATGACCCGGTCAGCAGCGGCTGTGTTCCCTCTTTTAGCGCTGATTCGTGTCCTGAATCCCAACCCCTCCCTGCTGTGTGCTGTCCCCGGGCTGGTGTGGTGTTTTGTCTCTGAGGTGTGTGGTCCTCCCAGCAGGCCTTCTGAAGGCCCTCTGCGTCAACCACAGCTGGTGTGACCACTCTCACACACCGACACACACACACACCGAGGCACAATCTCCAGGACACTATGTCTTCCAGCACGCCCTCTTAACAACTGAGCGTGGCGGGGGAAGTCCCAAAGGAGCCGCCGCTAGCTCGCCGTAGCAGGCTCTCTATCAGCAGCGCCGAGTGCCGGACTGACAGGGCCGGACAGGGCCGGACACTCAGTCTTATTTACGGTCAGGGAGGAGGAGCTCAGCCAGGAGAGACACGCTCAGCTGGAATCTAACCAAGGCTGGCCAATCGCAGCACATCCGTCAAGGATTGCGTGTCTCTGCAGCTTCCGTGGTAGTGGGGATGTTTAACGCATCACCGTACAGCGCCGCTGTGTGTGTGAGGCTCTCTGTACTCCAACGGGGGATGTGTGTGGTGAAGCTGTCTAAACTGTTGTCTGTAATAGTTATACTGCGATTAAATCATCATCTTGCATTATCGTCATTATCGTATTCTTGGAACCGGCAACACAGAGCCAGTTGTGTGTTTTATACAGAGGCTGATGTGATCTAAATTATGATAACCATGTGTGTTATCACAAAGGACTGTGGAAGGCATGGGCAGACTAGCTGGATTCAAGTGAATAACGCGGTGCCTCAGACCTGTGGCTGCGAAAACGAGCTGGAATCGGCTTCAGCCCCCTTCACCAGGGTTTGTAACGGGATAGCCAGGTCGGTTTCATCTTTCCAAAAGAAACAGACACGCCTTACAGGCTTCACTCGACATGGCTGCTTAACTGGACCACCATCGGTGTTCCAGAAT